CCCATCTCTCCCGCCTTAGCGCTGACAGGCGTTGCATTGAGAGACATTTCACACCCCGGGCTCGTGTAGAGGACAAGCTGAAGGTGGCTGCTGCTGCTGCTGCTGTTGTTGCTGCGGGTACCGTGGGCGAGGTGTCCGTTGAGGGCGGGCGATCGCTCGCCTCTGCCACGGAGCGCGTTTGGCCACTGTTCAACTATAACCACAAACTATAATTATAAACTATAACGATTTTATTTAGTCAGGTTATCCTCCCTGAGTGTGCAGTATTGTTCTTTTTCAGAAGCTACCTGGCCACAAACGGCAGCCCAATGGAAGTGGCTCATCATCACGTGGAACTTGATATCAGTCGCGCACTTTAAGCCAGGGCTCGGTGTCCCGGAGCCACAAGAGGCTCTTTAAGGACTGCTTCGTGACCGTTATTTATTCAGGACCCACCGTCTCGTGTTCACGTTGCATTAAGACTTTTGAATTATTGATTGTTTCTCTTTCCGAATTCGAAAAAAAAATGGCTCCTCTTGTTATTTGGTTTGCCGACCCCTGCTCTAAACGCGTGACGCTCATTCTAAATGTGGAGGGAAGACACGTAGGATCCTCAGAAAAATCCACGAGAGACACGCAAACTCAAAATAGACAGCAGTCGCCGGGATTGGGATCGAACCCACGAACCTCCTGGTATACTACCAGGCGAGGTATTTAACGCGACACGGGTCATTGGTCGCCCTTCCCCTGTAGCAGCAGCAGCAGCAAGAGAGCGCTTCCAGTGCGACGAGGCAGAGCGGGGTGGGCGAGCGGTGGTTACGGGCGATGCCGAGTTTACGATGATCATCTTAAGCCCCCCCCCCTCCTCCTCCCCTCCAGTCCCAACCCCAAGAGCGCCGCCGGTCACAGCCGTCGGCGTTGGCCGCTCCTCTCCGCCGTGACCTGGCGGCGGTCAGAGCAACACGGGGAGAGCAGACGCTGTCTGGAGCGAGGGAGCATTGTGTGCGTGAATGCGCAGATTCCACTTGACCCCTGCAGCCGCTGGCTGGCTCGCTCGCTCGCCCACGACGTCAGCACCTAACATACCGCACATTTCATGCCACTTCCTGACGTACGCAGCCTTAAGCTCACTCGGGGTGTGTTCTTTTTTTGTTTCATGGGAGCGGTAGTGCAGCGGTTAGCGCTACGCTGCGCTATGAACCCGGCGACACGAGTTCGATTCCCGCTCACGGCCGACACCAGTGACGAATACGTGAACTGGTTCTGGGCCTCCCCTAGGTCGACTCAGCCTACAATGAGTACTTGGTGTGGTGTGTAAACATCGCCACCAGAGAGACAAAGGTGGCTGCCCACCTACCCCCTCGTGTACCGTGCCAGCCTTCCTTCACAGGTGCTCGCGAACAGCACTTGCCCCCACTGTCTGTTAAGGTTATACGGAGGATCTTTGTATTTTGTGTTTTTGGGTTTGTAATGCGTAACTCTCAAAGCTTGGGCAATTGTTGGCACCATCTCATCACGGGGCTGCTGCCTTCCACTGGAGCTATGCACTTTTAAATCTAGGTTGAAAACGAATTTTCTTAGAACAGTTTAGTTGTCCTTTAATTAGCATGGTTGGATACGTACGGCGCAAAATAAATGCAACATATATACACCAGAATCAGAATATGTATTCATACTGATGGAATCCGATGAGCTATAAAGGTATTCTTCCCAGATGTCCAGTGGGATCCATACTTATCGCTTGCCTGTGCTGCCTCCTCCTGCCTCTTTAGGAGTCGTTCCTTGCCAACGAGAGTGAGCGAATACTGTGCCCGTTACGAGCCGAAATTATAATTGTATTACTGTATTATTATAAATGGATGCACGTTGTCCGACGTTTCCACGTGCTCAGGGCTTCACCGGCTTCCTGAGATCTCAATTCTAAGTGCGTTGAGTTGTTTATCTCGCCCTGGTTGTGGGTTCTGAGTTCGACTTCCAACACCAAACTGCGGAATAAATGTTGTGAGCCTTCTGCGCTTGAGATGGATTCACAATGGGCTGTAATGAGAGACGTTGTGAAGCACATGTGCAACGCTGGTGGCTATTTTGGGTGATGCATAACATAGCTATCCATCAAACCTGTACCCATATCGAGCAGAGAGGGTCCCTGCGAATAAACATGTGGAAGCTCACCAGCATTGGATGGAACAAGCCTGACTGCTCGGACACTGAATGTCGAAACCCCTCCAGAGTGCCCTTGCATTGTACCAATGTTGCTGTAAATAATCACTCCCAGAAGGCCGTGTGGCCAATGGTATGAGCAAAAACATTATTTTTTATACTCTTTGGTTCTTTCGGTGAAGTCACGTAGGTAGAAAAAATAATAATAGATCACGACGTTTCGATCGCAGCAGCGAGCGATCGAAACCTAGTGGTCTAATATTTTTTTCTACCCACGTGACTTCACCGAAAGAACCAAAGAGTGTGGATTCCTGCAGTCACGAAAGCTTAAAATCATTACGTTACACGTGTTATGCGGAGAGAGGAATATGGGAAACAGGCGTATTACCTCCGCATTCATTTTGGTGTAATGAAAATACGTGGTTTATTTGTTAGAGAGAAAATAAAGTAACCAGATTTTACAAGGACACGCCTTGCATGTATAACTTTGTATAATTAAATAAAAAATACAAACGAAATGTGCAATACACGTATTGTACTTTCTGCAATTAGTTGCCAACGCGAAGAATACATTTACGAGGTGAAGAGCGTGACCATCGGGGTGATTGGGTAATGAGAATAAGTCCCCGAGAAATCGCTGGATTCCAAGGGTGACGGAAGGTGGTTGCGTTGGAATTCATTGGATTGTCAACATAAATGTCGAAGCCACCAGGAATGTTGAGTCGAGAAGAGCAGGGATCAGAGGTGGAAGTGAGATCACAGAAAGTCACACGAGGAGTTTGGGTTTTGCATTTGTGGATGGTAGATGACAGGAAAGAAGTCGACTGATGGAGAGGATCACGAAATACAAATTACCGTAAATTATATTAACATCAAAAACAAAAAAAAACTCAACACATTCGTCAATAGCATTGTGGCCTTAAAATAAATATATAATAGGCAACATTTCAGATAATGGCCCTTCTTCACAGCACATGCACAGAGAAGCCATAGAGCAGGGTTCTTCACTCATTTTCCGAGAGGGCCCAGTTTCTCGCCTTCAGCGTGAGGGACGCCACACTTTTGAACCCACCGAGTTCGACTGCACGACGGTATCGAGGCTGCTTTCACCATTTGTGTGTTGTCGAGGGCCGCACTAAAGGCCACCCGGGGCCGCCAGTCGCTCGCGGGCCTTGCGATGAAGAACACTGAGATAAGAGTGAATAATAAATAAGTGTTGCTTGGTATTATTTTAGCGATGACTCGAAGTACGAGGAGTCGTGCCCAAAGGTGCCTCTCGTTCTGGTGCAACTTGCCCAGCAGACGGCGCTATGAGGCACGCGGCACCGACTTTGGGGTCGCGCCCCAGCTAAGCGGTCTTCGGCAGGGCAGCGTCGCTGGTCGGGACGGGTGCCGGTGGGCGAGACTGTGGGGAGGGAATGACAAGAAAAAAGATATAATGCTGAGATCAGTTCACGCATTGGAGATGCATTTTGGCATCACAGGACGGTGTGGAATTGTGATGGCATTGGGGACGGGGGGGGAGCCTTCATCCAGCAGTAGATATACAATGGCTAATGATGATTATGAGTATAGGCATGGTCAGTGCAGAGTTTATTTCAAGTGGAATGTGTCAACGGGACCCCCGCTTATTTTTTGGGCCCCCAAATTTTCGTTTTTACTCTCACAAAATTATCACGAGAGTCGTTGTGGTGAAGGTAAATGTCAAAATAAATAAGCCGACAATGTCTCCTTGACACATCCGTCTCCCCGTGTAAAAGAATAAATTAAGCGTTTCTTACAGAGCCCATCAGTCGCACGGCCTTCACATTCCATCTGCTGATGAGGCACTGCATGTCGAAACCAGTTCAGAGTTTTCTTGTCTGGGACCAATGCTGCTGAAATGATCACACTCACGGGTGATGGACTGTGTAAGCAATACTTATATTTTTAATGTGTAGAGATTCATATATTGAGACATTGTATGCTTAATTTTTTGTTAGGTCTTTAATGTCTCTATTCATCTATGGGTTTCTCAGGTCCATTTTTGAGAATCTCTTGGACATGATAATTGGTAGAATTAAATTAGCTTAAAATATATATCAGCTGTTCCTAATGTAAAAAAACAACCATTTCCCTGTGACTCTCTTTACGATTAATAATAACGATGTAATGCGTTGTCACGCAAGCACACGCACAATTCATTTTGTAGTGTATACAATAAAAAAAAGTTATTACTTACAATCCGGTGTATTTACCCTTGAGATACAATAATAAAAATCATACAACAGACAATCTAATGCGAAGACATGTGTGTAATATCAGAAATGTGAATGTGTTTGACTTCTTGGTAAATGTACAGCTTTATCTACACGCAGTTTCTCAAAGACTTTGGCTTGTACCCTCCTCCAAACCCACGTCACTTTTAATTGTTCACCACCTAATCTGATGTCCTCGACATAATGGCACAAAGTTCCAGCCCAGCACAGTTGTGACCAGTTCATGGTCACACCCCCAAATTATCTCGGCCAGCTTCCTATAGAACCCTATTCAGCATAGCTATTGGATACATTATCAGATGAGTGAGCTGCCCCAGTCTACCTGCGCCTGTGCCTTCCTGCAACTGGCGGTCGTCTTTCCACAACACTTTAGCATATTTTATATGAGCTCCGGTCATAGGCTGTTGCGCACAGTTTTCCCTAACACACCGAGTGAGGCTGCCTCACGGTCGACAGAACGATAGAAAGACAGAGGGTAAGAGAGAGAGAGAGAAAAAGGCAGCTCCGTTTGTCTTCATTTTGCACAATCGTCGAAAAAGTCTCGGTGCCGACCGCTCGGGTTTTCTGGGGCTAGAACCGTGAGCAAGTCCACGGTAACTCCCTGAGAACACAGCATTTTTTTAGGGGGGGTGGGTGGAGGGATGGCCACCCATCAGCAAGGTTACGACCACACGCCCGACTACCCGTTCCTGGACCCACGATTCTCTCCATCGGCATCGGCAGCGGCTGCCAGCGACGCCGCGAGGTCCACGGAGGAGACGGAGGAGGAGACGGAGGAAGACGAAGCGCCCGGAGTCAACGGTGTGGCGCGTGAGAAGCGACGGAAGGAGAGGGATCTGCTGGTGGACGAGAAGGACCACGCGGACCGCACGCAAAGGAGCGGCACCCACTGCTGCAGGGACGCGCTCGGCAGCATCGTCAAGTTTTTCCGACGTGAGTCCCTCCTGATGCCCTCCCCGCACCCTCCAGCAACTGATCTTTCCGATCTCTCTCTCTCTCTCTCAAGGGGCCGGGTTGGGTAATCGTTCGTATTTAATGCGCGATTGTTCTCCGCGCGATTTTGTTGACGCGCTCTCTCGGCCAGCTCGGAAGGAGTGCTCAGAATGGACTGGTACGTTATGTCGAGCTTGTAAAGGCGTAACTCTCGTGCCTTCGCGATGGCCTTTGCGATGTAGGAATGGGGGCGAATGCCGAACGTGCTGAATTGTATTTCTTTATTTAATCCACAACCTTGGACCCTGAGCTTGATTCCTGGCCGTGGCTGACACAAGGGGAGGGTGATGAACTGAACCAGTCCCTCGGCCCTCGTTGGCCAACATGGTAAAGTATGGTCCACCGATCCACAACGATTTATAATTGCAAAAAAACAAATATAAAATGTACTGCTTGCTATCAAGGCCCTTGTGGATATTGTTTTTGCAATTTAATAGACAGAATATACTTCACGAAACATGACGCCTCTTATTAAAAGATAATGTGTTGGCAGAAGTGCACAAATACCCAAAAAACTGAACGCATTCATGGAAAATAGGTGGCATTCTGGGCAAATGCATGTTTATGAATGTGGAGGGAAAAAGTGGAGGACCCAGATAAAAATCCATGCTACCACAGGGCGACTGTGCAAACTCCAAATATACAGCCGTAAAGGTCAGGGTCGAACCCACGACCTCCTATATCCTAGGCGAGGTAGTTAACATCTCCCCACCATGGCGCCCTTACAGACACAGCGAATAAGCAGACATGCTGAGCGACCTGTAAATATTAACAGGTTGGAATGACATTCTCAGCAGTTGACATTTATACCAAGTGTAACATATGCAGAGCGTGTGATCAAAGGAAAAAAAAACTGCAACTTCACAATTCCATGGACATATTGAGTTTGAGTTGATTTGATTCGCTGACACGGACGATCCCGTTTAGCCAGCTGCCCTGCTGTTTTACGGAGGGAGATCCGTGGTGCGTGAGCACAGCAGAGGCAACAAAAACAAAAGACGAAACCGTCATCAGTATTGCAGAGAGCGAGTTGCAGCAGGGTCCTGAAGGAACATTGCTGAGCTAACAAATTCGGCGTTTAACGGTCGTAAGACGAAGCACACTACGCGAATAAAAAGAAGTGCAAACGTAACCTGAGACCAAAAAAATGTTAGATGCAGGCTCAAAGTTAGAGCGATATTATAGTCGAAGTGTCGCAAAGACATGCGAGTCGAACAAAATGTATTTCAAAAGTTTGAGTGGCACCCTCGTGTATACTGTGTTAAAACGTCGCTCAAAAAAATATCTCAGAATTTTCAGCTTTTACGTGTTTTTTTTTTAAAAGGTTCATACATATATGGTGTTTGCAAAACTATGTTTTACATTGCAATATTTTCATATTAAATACTATACAAAGTATCAAGGAACCACTGAACTGCATCTCACGACTATTTTTCAGGAGTCCTGTATTTGGGATATTTGGCCCGATGTTGCATGAATTATGTTCGTATATGAAATTATCGTCCTATCAACGGATGCATATTGTAGATATATAGATGTTTTGTAAATATACTGTACATTTTACTTAAAATTGTCACTTGGGAAATCCTTGCTGGAGTTCTTATTCTTCCATATGGCTTTAGGGAAGAAGAAGATAAAGGCAATAGGCTCCAAAAGTGTTTCTAGTGTTTGTTAGACCTTACACGGAATCGGGTGTGGTAGCTGAGTGGAGTACGATTGTTTCACCAGAACACAGCGTGTTGTGTTAATTTGGCAGTGAGTAGTGATGTACGCCTCATAGTCTGCACCTAAACGCATTCACAGTTTGGTGATTCCTTGATCGTTGTATGTCTGGAGGAAAATTCGCCACACCTTCTCCACATCGTGTTGGTCGGACGCAGTTGAGTGGTCCACTGGCTGCAGTATTTAATTTTTGTTTCAAGAACTTCTGAAAGCCAAAGCCAATTTTCGTCACTACATTCTCTAGCGCTTTTGCTTTTTTTGGTGGGGGGGGGGGGGGGGGGGGGAAATTGACGACTCATACTGGCTTGCATTCTGATCACAGTGTGACTGCTAATTTAGTAAAGTCACTGTGTGCTTCAGTACCAGCATGAATGAGCCATCATAACTTACTTCGCTGAAGCTGAGAGCCTCCAACTTACTCTGGGAAGAAGAAAAAAAAACTGCCTTCACCCGGCTTACATAGTGGCCTTATCCGTTTTTAAATCGCCCAATTCACGAAGTTAGACTTGCACTGCAAATATGAGACAGAAAAGTAGACATATACATATATCACAGATGGGCATAATGCATCAGTGAGTGAGTGAAATGCGCAGCTGTAGTTAACTTTGCGCTTGCAAAATCCTGACCAGTAAACGTGATGTGAGTCGTCGTTTATTTGTCCAAGCTGGTCAGTTAGGGTTGGTGTAGGCGGTGCGGGGGGCATAAGAAGTATGGTACCACAATTAATGTCACTGCACTGCAGCAACATTTATGATTCGTTAGAACTGCGTTATGTGTTAAGTTTGTTGTCCTTCCCCCGCACCTCCGAATAGCACGGTTGGCTACGTACGGTACCAAAGAAGTTTCTACGTACGTACTGCCCACCATGTTAGCCCCGCAGCTGCCTATAACAACCTGTTGTGCACAGAGGTCATCCCATCCTCCCATCCCAGCCGCCTAGCGTTGAGGGCCCCTCTTCTGAACTCTTATTGTGTGGTAATGACTGCGTCACACATATTGTCATAACTGCAAAACAATGACAAAGATCCCCCGTATGGACTTTAACAGACTGCTGGGGAGAGTGATGTTAGCGAGCACCTATGAAGGTTGGCACGGCAGACGAGGGAGTGGGTGGCCAGCACCACGCCCTTTGCCTCTCCTAACGGCGAAGTTAAAACACCGCACCAGGCACCCATTTGAGGCTGAGTCGACCTAGGGGAGGCCCACACACAACACTGCGCGATCTGCTGCGATGCCCGGCGTTTAATTCGCAAGCTTCGTGTGATGACAGACAAAGCTGGACAGAACGCGAAACGATCACGGGGCGCTGCGATTGAGCGGTGGGAGTTCCAGCCAAGGGGGCTCAAGAAGAATGTACGGCAGGCAAAATTCAATCGTGACTCATTCTGTCAAACATTTAACTTTACTTTAGAGTTTTATCTTAGCACTGACTGTGCCGTGACCCCCCTCCCCCACCTCACCCCCTTAATTTTTGTATGCCTTCCCCTTTCAAGCAAGGTCACGCTTCAGGATTGATCCAAGATCAGACCTGTTTGGCTTCGGTGAGCTGATGAGAGGGGCATTGCGGGGTGATTTGGTCGGGCAAATTGTGATCCGTTCTTTTACTGTCTTGCCCTTGCCCCTGCCCAGCGGTGTACCGATGCGTACGTCACCTGATCCTGAGGTTCGGGGAGGATTGGATATTCCTCTTCATCCTCGGCATCTCCATGGCCACCATCAGCTACTGCCTGGACGTGGTCATCGGGCGATTCCAGCGAAGTGAGTAGATGCTCCCGGTGCTCGCAATTGCACTGGGAGGCAGGGAGGGGAAACACGTGGATCAGAGAGCCCCGATTAGCACGCTTGGCTACGTACGGTGCGAAATAATTTCAACATACACACATGATATGTTCTTATAATAACAAAACACATCATTAATCAATTATGGTTTCCACGACCTCCCTTGCAAAAGTGAGCATGTTAAGAAAATGCAACAACAACAAAAATCTTCACAAAAAATATATTAATCGACATACTGGCAGCTTTAGATCAACTCGGCTCACTGACTGCAGTGACATTTGCAAAAAGAAAAATACAAGTTGTTTATATACACAAGGCATGTCGCGATACAAACATATCTGCGTTAGGCCACACAATGACCTGGACAAATTGGTGTCGTTAAGAACCCGCCACCACTAGACGTAGCCAAACGAATTAAACTGTCTCGTGTAAGAGCATTCAACGCACCGATTAACCCCCCCCCCACCCACCACCAAAATCAATTATGAATCATGACATCGGCTGCGCGACCTCGGTTGTCAATTCACCTTGACCGAAAAGAACAGCAAGTGGGGCTTGGGCAAGACGCTTCGCGAGAGGGAATGAGGGGATGATGGCCAGTGGCCGAGACATAGTGACGACGTGGCACGCCGAAGGAGGTGAGGGGACACGTCAGAGGGCACGTCCACCTCGTAGACGGAGCGATGAGGTGAGCTGCTGTGCAGGCGTTCGATCGCTGTTCTTCATTGCCAGGCCTGCGGGCCACTGGCGGTCGGCCCATGGTGACCTTTAGTGCGGCCCCTGGTGACCTTTAGTGCGGCCCCCGGTGGCCTTTAATACGGCCCCTGGTGACCTTTAGTGCGGCCCCTGGTGACCTTTAGTGCGGCCCCTGGTGACCTTTAGTGCGGCCCCTGGTGACCTTTAGTGCGGCCCCTGGTGACCTTTAGTGCGGCCCCTGGTGACCTTTAGTGCGGCCCCTGGTGACCTTCAGTGCGGCCCCTGGTTACCTTTAGTGCGGCCCCTGGTGACCTTCAGTGCGGCCCCTGGTGACCTTCAGTGCGGCCCCTGGTGACCTTTAGTGCGGCCCCCGGTGACCTTTAGTGCGGCCCCTGGTTGCCTTCATGCGGCCCCAGGTAACCTTCAGTGCGGCCCCTGGTGGCCTTTAGTGCGGCCCCTGGTTGCCTTCATGCGGCCCCAGGTAACCTTTAGTGCGGCCCCTGGTGACCTTTAGTGCGGCCCCTGTTGACCTTTAGTGCGGCCCCCGGTGACATTTAGTGCGGCCCCTGGTGGCCTTTAGTGAGGCCCCTGGAGGCCTTTAGTGCGGCTCCCAACAATACACAAATGTGAGGGCACATCCCTTGCAGGCGGTGTGTGGCGGCCCTCGCGCTGACGATGTCTTATCGGCAAAAGCGCCCCCCCCCCCAACACCTCTGAAAATTAATGAAGAACACTGCGATAGATCGATCACTGCAATTGAAGAGAGCGAAGCTGATGGCGACAGGTGGGAGTGCGGTGTTTATGGGGAGCGGTAGTGTAGCGGTTAGTGCGCTGCGCTATGAACCTGGCGACGCGGGTTCGATTCCCGCTCACGGCCAACACCAGTGACGCTTATCTAAACCGGTCCTGGGCCTCCCCTAGGTCGACTCAGCCTGAAATGAATACCTGGTGCGGTGGATAAAAGCATTGCCACTGGGGAGACTAAGGCGGTCGGGCGTGGTGCTGGCCACCCACCCCCTCGTGTACCGTTCCGGCCTTCATAGGTGCTCGCTAACAGCACTTGCTCCGACAGTCTGTTAAGGCTATACGGGGGATGTTTGTCTTTGTGACAGTGTGTGTGTGGGCGGTGTAGCGGTCAGCTGCGCCACAAACCCGGCGACACGAGTTCGATTTCCCGCTCACGGCCAACACCGGTGACGATTATCTGAACCGGTTCTGGGCCTCCCCTAGGTCGACTCAGCCTCAAATGGGTGCCTGGTGCGGTGTGTGAACATCCACCACTGGGGAGACAAAGGCGGCCGGGGGTGGTGCTGGCCACCCACCCCCTCGTGTGCCGTGCCGGCCTTCATAGGTGCTCGCTAACAGCACTTGCCCCTACAGTCTGTTAAGGCTATACGTGGGATCGTTGTGTTTGTGTGTCTGCGGAAAGGTCTAACCCACCTGCCGATCTCCGTTGTGACCACGTGCCCCCAACGTCGCGTGCCGTGCCGTCATTCACAGGCGCTGCTCGCTCACAGCACTTGCCCCCAACGGTCTGCGACGGGGTCTTTGTCTTTATTTTTTGTTGTTGTTGCGCAGTCAACCTGCACGTCTACGACTCGCTGGAGAACTACCGGGTGCTGCAGTACTTATCGTGGGTGCTCTACCACGTCATCCTCATGGTGGGGTCGGCCGGAGTGGCGCAGCTCATCTCGCAGCAGGCGATCGGTACGCGCGCCGTGTGTCCTCGTGCTTGTCTCTGCCGCCGGCTCGTGCACGCCACCGTCGATTCCTCCGATGTTAGCACGGGTCGGTGTGCAGAGGAAGGTCAACGCAACTGTCGCTTCAAAAGTTTAATGTTTAGAAAGAGTTCAAGTTACGCATTTTCTGAAGGGTAGTTGGTTGATTGAAAGCCAGGGGTTTTTTTGTTTTTTTTGTTTTCCTTCATGCGTTCATTCAGAGTGAATAAAGCTGTGACGTTTCGGGCAATGACCCTTCCTCACAGGTGAAGGCGGAGAGCATATAAGTAGAATCCAACGGCGACGTTTTTTGCTTTATGCACCCAAAATCGGGCTACTATTAAAATAATCTGTGCCTTCCTTGAATTTCCTGGCTGGCTGCTGACTAAGCTCCTGTCCACCGTCATAATGACTCGATTGTTAGCGGCTGCGGGGCACCTTTCCACCGAAACTAACTGGGTAACTGGCTACACGCGATGTTTTTTTCTTTTCCACCCGTGTAACAAATAAACATTTTATTGAATTGAAACGGCGAAATAAACTCGTAAGACGTCAAATATATCGCGAGAGCGAAGAGGTGGGAGGATCAAATAACAGAAGACTGACACGGTTAATTTATAATCGCTCCACCTCTTCAATATGAATACTTATTATCTTGCCATGTTGTTATTTCTACGTAAAAAAACGCAATTACTTTGAGTGCTCCGAGAAGAGTGGGATTGTGAGAAAGTTCACGAACATGGACAGCTGTCTCTTATTTTCCCGCTGCAGAGCAACGGGCTCACTACTCGCAACATCAAAGATAAATGATCATACAAAAGTCTGTAATTTACAATAAAATATCATCACAGTCCCATAATCGCGCCAGCCCTCTGCGTCAATGTTTTCCAACGGCATTCGTTCAAGCACTCCAAACTCTGGGCCGGTGTTGACTTGGGGTGTTGGAGCGCCAGGGTGGCGAGATGTTAACTACCCCGCCTAGTACGCAGGAGGTCGTGGGTACGATTCTGACCCTGACGCCTGCTGTTTATTTAGAGTTTGCATGTTCTCCCTGTGGTCCGTTCCCCCCCCCCACGTTTAGAATCAACACACGTTTAGAATATTTGACTGCTATACATTTCCACATGATAAGCCCCTTCGTTGAGCTATTATTTGTGGCCAGGTGGCTTCTAGAAAAGAGAGCTATATTGCTCAGTGAGCCTTACCTGGTGAAATAAAAACATAGTTTAGTTTTATAGCTTAATAGTTATTCTTGGTTCTTTCGGTAAAGTTACGTAGATAGAAATACAAATAATAAAATAAAATTTAAAAATAAAATAAAAGCAAAAGACCCACGACGTTTCGATCGCAACACAAGCGGTCTTCATCGGACGGAGTTTCTGAGTCACATGAGCAAATAATTGCTGCTCGGTTTCCTGATGCTGTGTCGGGGGAGAGACATTTTATCAACAGCGTGGGTGAGGGTTGCCGCCTCTGAGATACAAACACAAACACAAAGTAAAAAACACGAAGAGACCCGAACCGTTTTTTTTAAATGTGTAGAAAATGTCATCTCGTCAGGCTGCGTAGATCCGAAGACATTAAAGCGTCAACGATTTGAAAGAATGTAAACAGACAACAAGGCAAGTTCAATAAAAGTGTGTCAATAAAAAAAAACACCCGGACGTGTCACGGAAAGAATGATGATGACGACTATGATTATTAATTATAATTAATGATGTTAATTATAATTAATGATAATTAACATTACCATCGCTTATAGTGACGTCGTCCTGCGCTATTTAACACCGGGAGCAGGTGGATTGCTTCACTAGTCTGGCAAATCAAATTGTCAATATTGTGGATTTACTCTCCAACGCACCGGTGGGCTGAAGTAGTCACTAATTGGCGTTTTGTTTACGCGACAAATCCCTTACTAATTGGGCTGTGTCGGCTGGTCGGTGGGGGGGGGGGGGGGGTTACGACGCATTAATAATACTCACACGATCTAACTCCCCGACAAACCTTTATCATGAATAACATTGGTCTCGAAAGCCCCTGCCAAAAATGACCATCGCTCACGTCCGACCGTCTCGACAGGCTCGGGTATCCCCGAGATCAAAGTGTCACTGCGCGGCGTCGTGCTGGAGGAGTTCTTCACCCTCAAGACGATGGTGGCAAAGCTCATCGGCATCACGTGCACGCTCGCCGCGGGCAGCACCATCTTCCTGGGCAAAGTGGTGAGTGCGCCGGACGCTCACTCGAGGTTCGGCTGCGTACGGCGTGGAAGAAGTCCGACGTACGAGGGCAGCTCGCGCGCGATTGTCGCCCGTTTATCTCAACGCAGCGGTGTTCTTCACTCATTTTTCAGGGCGGGCGGCGGGGCGGCCGGGCGGCCGGGCACTTTCGCCCATAAGACATTCAGCGTGAAGTCCGCCACACATTTGAAGCCGTTGGGTTTGACAGGACGGTGATGATGATGATGATGACGTGCGGGGTGTTTTCGCGTGTTGTCTATTGTCGGTGTCCGCACTAGAGGTCATTAGGGGGTCGCCAGCGGCCCCCGGGCCTGGCAATGACGAACGCTGCAATACAGGAAGCCCTTGGGGCTGGAAGGTCAGAACGGTGTGCTGGTCGGCCACGGATGAGATCCCGAGGTTTCGAAAAGTATCGTAAATCAGCCGTCCAACGGTAGGTGGATTCCCTGGGATGAGGTGTTTGAGCCCTTTCAAAAATAATTAATGGCAGACGCGTTCACGTACATTACGCTCGATGAGCCAGGAAAGCCTCGGCTGAGACTCAAGGCAATTTTTTTTTTGGGGGGGGGGGAAAGTGTGTTGCCAAGTTGCCGTAGTGGGGCGGCGATGTTGCTCAGCGTCGTTTCATTGAATCGTAAATGATGGCCTTTGTTTGGTGTGCTCTTGTTTCAGGGACCCTTTGTACACATGAGCTGCATCCTCGCCACACAGTTTGGCCGACTTCTCGTGAAATTTGCTGGGAAGAAGGAGGTTAGTGGCGCGAGGCTTCTGTTTCGGGGGGGGGGGGGGGGGTTGAGTTTGTGTTCATTACTACAACATCCGACGAGAAAACCACACATAACACCTGAAAAACCACATGCAATACTTAAACTTGTCCTGACAATCGAATAGCCTGGCCGATGTATTTGGATCGTTAAATACGAGTTGGAGCAGTGGTGCAGTGACCTCTGAACCAAACCACTCGAGTTCAATTCCCTCTCACGGACAACACCAGTGACGATTCTCCGAACCAGTCCTGGGCCTCCCCTAGGTCGACTCAGCCTCAAATGAGTACCTGGTGCGATGCTTAAACATCAGCACTGGTTGAGACAAAAGCGGTCGGGCGTGGTGCTGGCCACCCACTCCCGCGTGTGCCGTGCCGGACTTCATAGGGTGCTACTCGCTAACAGCACTTGCCCCAACAGTCTGCTAATGCTACACGGGGGGATCTTTATCTTTGCCCTGACGTCAACCCCGCAGAACGAGGGCCGCAAGTACGAGATGATCGTGGCTGGGGCAGCGGTGGGGGTGGCTTGCTGCTTCGTGGCCCCAGTAGGAGGTGATGGTGTCACCTGCACTCCCCACGTCTCTCCTCCCATCATCGCACCCACTCACTGTCTCTTTCTTTCTTCTGCTCAAAGTCTCTCTCCCTTTCTCTCTCTCTCTCTCTTCGATCCGCTCTGCCTCACTCATGCACCCTCTTGTCAGCTTCCCATTTAATAGAGTTCCCAAATGTCCTGATGATGCTAATGATGTGGACGATGCTGTTGATGATCCTGCTGCTGCTTGTATGTATGTTGAACTTATTTTGTACCTGCTGCTGCTTGAGATGATACATTTGATTATACTGCTGCTGATGTTGGTCGTGTGTCTGTTCCTTCTGCTGATGATCATCATCATATTGCTGCTGCTGTTGCTGCTTCTAATGATGATTCTCCTGATCCTGATGCTGCTGCTGCTCATGGTGTTAATGCTTCAACAATAGGTTTTACCCTTTCTGGCAATAAATCAGGTGTCAAGATGTTAAAACACCCAACAGAGTCCTTATTCAAGGAATCATGTCTGCATTCACCACAAACAAAATCATGCTCTGGTAGTATATATGGCATTGTCTTTGAAACGGACTGCTGCTGCTGATGATTATAGTGCTCCGCCTGCGACTGCATCAGCTGCTGTTGCCGATGATGATGACGACGCTGATGGTGATGATGATGATGATGACGACGCTGATGGTGATGATGACGACGCTAATGGTGAGGATGATGATGACGACGCTGATGGTGATGATGATGACGACGCTGATGGTGATGACGATGACGACGCTGATGGTGATGATGATGATGATGACGACGCTGATGGTGATGATGATGATGACGACGCTGATGGTGATGATGATGATGACGACGCTGATGATGATAATGACGACGACGCTGATGGTGATGATGATGATGATTTCTCGGCAAAACCCGGGCAGGAGTGCTGTTCAGCGTGGAGACCACGGCCACTCACTTCGCCGTGCGCAATTACTGGCGCGGGTTCTTTGCTGCCACGTGTGCTGCCCTCATGTTCCGCCTGCTCGCCATCACCAACGGAGAGAAAGGTGCCTCCCACGACTCCCCCCCCCCAACTCCCTCCTCATGATCTCGTCAAGGATGATAAACCATCATCAAGCGAACTCCGGTCATCCTCGCAGCAGCAGCAGCAGCAGCTTTTGGCTGCTAGCCATCAAACAACGATCGATGGTGATCGCGTCGCGTGCTTTCAGATGCGCTTCCGCGGCCGTCTGGAACGCTCCTCCCGATATTAGGAAGCCACCGGAGCTGGTGGTTTTTGTTACATTTTATTTTGCCTTTTAAGCCATCAAAAGCAACATAAATGTCTATTTTGAGGACACACTAAATGTCGGACTCCCATTGGAACCATCCTTAGTGTAGTTTAAATACATCATCAGGATAGATGTATCCACTGCTGGATGAAGACCTCTCATCGCTATGTCGGTCATGGGGATTGTTGTTTGACCATACTTCACCACGCTTGTCATCGCGGTTTAGACATCGCATTGACACTCACGTGAGCCACGGCTGGGAATCAAACTCTAATCACAAAGGTCATAGGGCAAGCGTGTTAAGCATTGCATCACTGCTCCCCCTTTACGTGACCTAACACTCGAAAAGCCCAAGGCTTCCCGTACGGAATCAGAATCTTGATTTATCCTTGGGGGAACCCGATGGGCTACGAAGCCTTTGGGAATGAATGTTTTTTTTTGCTATTCACAAAATAAAACAAATGCAGTCATGCTAATTTTTATTGCCTCTTTTTGGAGACCTCATTCCGACCTGGACACGCAAGTTTCACCAAACTCTAACAGTCGGTACCCTCCCGAATTTGACCGAATTTTTTCAAGAAAATACCAATGAAATGCTGCGATATTTAACATCCCGGGACATCTGCTTGAGCATCTGTCCAATAATTTATAAAAAATAATGTTTCTTAATTGGTCTAAATTGGCACCAATGGTGTGACCAAATACGTCGAACATTTGGCCATAACTCGATGAAATGTACTGTTTATTGCATGTCATTTGGTGGTCTTCATCTGATCGGAGCGCCCTAGAAGGTCTCCAAATTTAACGACTCTCGTCCAAAAGATAGCCGCTGGAGACACGAACACATTCCATGCAAAACGCCGTATGCACTGTACTAAGCCCTTACATCTTGATGTACAGTATCCGAGCAGGAATTGTACAAATATCTGATTTAACACAGCACAGAAAAAACAGTTGCACCATTCAATTTCGCTCGTCCAGGCGAGTAGTATGGGGCACCAATAATGTAAATCCTATGATCCCTGCGGTTATCCGTGAATTAACTCCGCTTAACCGCAGGGTAACAATCAGCGGATAACCCCGTAGGATGACGTTGCCAAGCAACTCCTCTTATCCGCTGCTTCGCTATGCCTCATGAGTAATATTGTAGATAACTGCAGACAATAGGAAAATATAGGGCTGTGGACAATCGGACTTTTCACGGACCTTACCACCGCCGTGGGTAATAGGGCCGTGAATAACGTGAGTTCTTCCGTGCGTATATATTTATATATTAAATAAATCAAATTTACCAGGTAAGGCCCACTGAGCTATATGGCTCTTTTTCAGAAGGCCACAAATGATAGCTCAACGACGTGGCATATCATGTGGACATTTATAGCAGCCAAATACTCCAAACGCACGTTCCTAAATGTGGTAGGAAAAACTGGAGGACCCGGAGAAAAATCCACGCGACCACGGGGAGAACACGCAAACGCCAAATATTGAGGCGTCAGGGTCGAACCCACGACCTCCTGTATACCAGGCGAGGCGGTTATCATCTTGCCACCGTGGCGCCCCGTGTATATAATTCCACATATAACTGCATGCATCTCCAATCTCCTTGACCCCCACAGAGACGGTGGCTGTACTGTTCACCACCAGCTACCAGGTGGAGTTTCCTTTCGACCTGCCCGAGTACTTCTCCTTTGCCATCCTCGGGTGAGAGGGGACGGCACCAGGAGCTGCCGTTGCTCGGCAAAAGCTGTGCTTTCTTTTATTCCGCGATTATTACAACTCACTACTCTGCGAGACGCCTGGCATTTAAAAAAAACATTCCCAAGCTGCAGCGTGTGTACAAAATTCTCTGGCACGCTGTCGTGCGGGGTAGTGCAAGATCCGACCGTGTCTGTCCAGTGCTCGTCAAGCTAGGTGTTGGCTTCCGGTTTGCCGAAACGAATACATTATAAGGTCGCGCTCATTACGCACAAAGTGCTTGCCAGAAATGAACCACAATACCTTGCTGATCTCAAGAAGCGTAAACCATCGCGCGAACTCCGGCAAATCCTCGCAGTGGCTTTTTGCTAGCCATCGAACAAAGACGCTCACCGCGCGCTTTCAGATGCGTTTTTCCTGCCGTCTGAACAGTGTTTCCTTCCGATATTACGAAGCCACTGGAGCTATGCACTTTTAAATCTAGATTGAAAACTGATTTTTTTTTTTAGAACTGATTTTTGTGTTTAGTTTGTTGTCCTTCTCCCGCACCTCCGATTAGTACGGTTGGCTACGTACGGTGCGAAAGAAGTTCAACATACAGGACATACAAATCAAGACACGTCAGTCTCCAGAGGTCATCGCTGTTTCATGTCTACACCAAATAATCTCAACTAGGATCTAGAGTCCCTCCAAGAGATTATTGTGATGAAATCGTCCACGCTGGTTAGACGTCCTAGAATGTAGTGGGAGTACCCACACTTTACCCCACCACACGTGGCCTGTCAATCAATTGACTTGCTGCGGCGCTCGGCTTGTAAATGAAGCACACGTTAAGCACCCCAAGAATCCAAAGGGATCCTGGATTCATAAAAAAAGGTGGAGCATCAAATATCAGTTAACATTCAACCCCCTAATTAACATAACACGATTATTAACATAATGTACCGGCTAATTTATTTAATCTAAATCTCATCTGCATTCCTATTCTCTCGTCTCACTACCTTCTTTTGTTTACATTTCCTTTATCTCACCGCATATATACTTTCTAGATTTGGAGTTTTCGTGACTGCAAGGATCCATATACTCTTCGGTTCTTTCGGTAAAGTCACGTGGGTGAAAACATAAAATAAAAACGAATTAATTAAATCACGACGTTTCGGGCGCAACACAAGCGCCCGTCATCAGGCGAGACAACCACAACAAGAAAACAACAGCTGCTGAAGTGGTCAAGACAGCTGCCGCCTGATGACGGGCATTTGTGTTGCGCCCGAAACGTCGTGATTTAATTTATTTATTTTTATTTTATTTTTTCACCTACGTGACTTTACCGAGAGAACCAAAGAGTACGCATATATACTGTGCTATACAGGGACTCCTCTACTTACGAACAAGTTACCGAATAGAACCAAAGAGTATAGCTTCCAGAAGTCTGTTTGTAAGTCGATTTGCTCTCGAGTCCAACTTTACTGCTGTCGATTCCAAACGTGTTGTACGGCGTCTACACTAGACACGGAGAATGGTTTTACAAGTTGTATAATCTCCTGTAGATGTAGATGCCACTGGTTCTTCATGTTTTGTAGATGTAGATGCCACTGGTTCTTCACGTTCTGCAGATGTAGATGACACTTGTTCTTCACGTTCTGCAGATGTAGATATCATTGGTTCTTCACGTTCTGTAGATGTAGATGCCACTGGTTCTTAATGTTCTGCAGATGTAGATACCACTGGTTCTTCATGTTCTGCAGATGTAGATGCCACTGGTTCTTCACGTTCTGCAGATATAGATGCCACTGGTTCTTCACGTTTTACAGATGTAGATGCCACTGGTTCTTCACGTTTTACAGATGTAAATGCCACTGGTTCTTCACGTTCTGCAGATGTAGATGCCACTGGTTCTTCGCGTTCTGCAGATGTAGATGCCACCAGCGCCATCTATTTGCACGGCGGTTGAACTTACGACTCTCGGTCCGAACAGGCAACTGTACATATGGACATGTTTGTTCGTATATATGAAAGTTCGTAAGTCAAATGCTCGTAAGTAGAGGAGTCCCTATACATTTTGTCTATGTCTCTTGTGTCATCCCACGAGGATAGTAAACGTTGATAGGGAGGGCCCACGAAACATATTTATGCTTAGCCCCCCCCCCCCCGCTCCCGGCTAGCACTAGCACTGCAGATAAATGTGTGGTGTGGGTCAGTGTGGTGATGTGCCTTGGCGTTTCTTGTGTGCGCGCTAGGGTTCTGTGTGGCTGCCTTTGCTGTGTCTATTTATTTTGCCACCGGAACCTGCTCATCTTCATGATGAACAACAAGATCATCTCCAAGTTCATGGCCAATAAGTAAGTGACAGGCACTCGGTCACCCTGGTAATGATGCTGGGAATGCACATTCTGCCCGTGGGGAATGCGTCGAATGAATGTATTATACTGGTAGGAACCTCTTGGTTACACCAGCCCACAGGGGATTATTGTGTCCGTCCGTCGTGCATCCAAAAATAGGAGGGGTGGGGCTGGGTGGAGAGGGGAGGGTGGGGAGGGGAGGGGAAGGTGGGGAGGGCCTGGGTGGGGAGGGTGGGGCTGGGTGGGGGGTGGGAGGGGTGGGGCTGGATGGGGAGGGGCTGGTCACCCCGTGGTGCCCTTATAAAACTCAACGTTTAACCTACTCACGCCGGCTTGTGGCCACCCTCACAGTCAGGCATATTTGCGGAATACACCACGTGGCGCTGCCGCCGTTGACCCTGGTCATTGACCGAGCAACCCGACGTTCCTACCAGCTCCCTCCGCAGGAATGTGTTTGCACACGTAACGCCCTTTTAGTTAATATATTTTACTGGACGTCTGCGACAAGGAGCTTTTTCGCTCATCTGATTCTGATTCTGACGTTGCTGGATGGGGGCCCTCTCATGGTGCGGATAACGAGAGGGTTATTCGAACATACTTTGCCATTCTTGGTCAGCGTGGGTTTGTGGCGGCGAAAAGAATTAGACGTGGGAGCATAGATCGCCACTGCTCTCCGCTGTCCACAGCATAGAGCAGCCGATATACAGAAAGACAAAGATCCCCCGTATAGCCTTTCACAGAGTGTAGGTGCTGGCACAAAAAAACATTTTTAAAACAAGCATGCTCTGATAATATACGCATTGTCTTTGCCAGAGAGAGTAAAACCTATTCTTATATTTTCATTGTTTTGATACTGGCCAAAAAGGTCCCAAATATATGTATTTAAAACGAAGCAAAAAATGCTCGTGGTCAAAAATGCTAGGGGTCAATTATTTTGGGGGGTCACTGGGGGGGGGGGGGGGCGTGCCAACTGCAACTACGTCACTGACATCGCTTTCTCATATAACAGCCAAGAAACTGGAGAGCCCCCCACCCCCTCCCCCCCCAACTAACCCCACGGGCGGCTGCGGATTTTTTTGTTGTCCTCTGCAGCAAGGTGCTGTACTCGGGCGTGTTGACGCTCATCCTGGCCAGCATCACCTTCCCCCACGGCTTCGGGCAATACATCGGATCGCGGGTACGGTCACGCGCGCCCGCAGCTTGCACGCGATTAGGCGTGGGGAGCTAATAATGACCAGTATTCATAGTTCAAGTGGTTTTCTATTAAATTGCGTAAACATAAATGTGTCGTTAACCCACCACCGCCCGACACAGCCAATCAGTAAGGTTTGTCACGTAAACAAAACTAGTTCAGCAAACCGGTGCTTTGGAGAGTAAACCCACAACATTTAGAATTTGAGTACGACGTTTCGCTAGTGATTACAGCCAGCTTCATCAATTGATTTTACAGAATTTTGAAGAAGTATTTCTGTTTCCGGGCTTAAATATTGATGCCGTAATATTAACGGTATTTGTGTTTTGTTTTTATTGCTGCTGCTGCTGCGTTCACGCAACCACGGATCTCCCGTTCCAGATAGCCGCGAAACTGACTAAACGGGACCTTCGCCCGTATAACAAATCAAATAAACTCAAAACTCCTTGGGACACACTTGGCCAAACACTCTGCATTTTCCCCACGCTGATCACAATGAGCGTGGTGGCGCCATCTGGCGGACAGATTCCAAAAATGCATGCGTGCATCGTGTGAGCTGAAATGATCGGGAGTACATTTTCGACTGGTCCAGGCGAGCCAGGCCGCAACGAAGGCCCCTCTTTATTCAGGAGGATCCTGCCAAGTGGAGTTTTTTTAATTTTATTTCAAGATGTTTTTTAGCCAAATAAGGAATGGGAAGGAATCCGGAGTCGCCCAGAGAAAATCCATGCGCACTAGAGGGAGCAACGCTCTATCCCCGTACAGATGGAAACAGATGGAAATTTTTCCACTTGCTATACCGCCTTCTACTGGCCAGCCAGGGTATAGCACCTTCTCGTCGCCCATGGGTTGGGAGTTTAACAACATTTGTGTGATCCACCAATCCTCGCCTCCACAAGCGCTTGATTAGAGCCCACGTGCATAACCACCAGCCGCCCTAGAGTCATCGATGAGTCGCTGCTTGCTCCTCGACTGTTTATTCACAACGCAAGGGGCTCTTTTGAAGCTACTCCACTTGGGGACCCAATGGAAGTCACGTGACTTCATTGTGTCAGACGGTGGTGGCTGTAAACGAGTCGAGTAATTGTTGAACACGTAGGATTTCGCGAGCAATATCATCCATAATCGAGGTTTTTTTACGCGATCTAACCCAAAAAACTTCTGTTATAGAGTCATTGTTATTCATATTTTTGTTAAATAATTATTTGCGTATGGTAAATCTTTGGTTGCAATCGTCCACGCAGCTAATAAACGTGACATACCTCTAAAGTCTAAAGAGACAAAGGCACTGAGAAAATGGTCATTTGTCTCAACCCACGCTTTTACATCAGTTAATGATTAAACCAAAATCCATGTCAGTGAGTAAGGCATTAATTAATTATTGGTTCCTTCCACGTTTCACCATTCAGCAGACAGGGTTTTGTATTTGCTGCCTAAAGCTGAGCCACTTCTTCGAAAGGAGCGTACACAATAGTTGCAGTCGACCTATGCGATTCGAATCAAGTGGTGTCTGTGTTGTAATTGTTTCACGCCGTGAGACAACCGTGCTCATCGGAAGCGCGCAGTTCGAGCTCGGTAAACTCTCTTCCAATGGGACTCTGTACTAACCTGTAACGTATATAGACGAAAAATCACATGCAAAAGTTGACAAAGAGGAAATACATTGCTGGGGGCGTAGGTGAATTACACTCACCTCCGATTGGCACGGTTGGCTACGTACGGCGCGAAAGAAGTTCAGCATACACACGCACACCCTGTAATCCATCGCACATAAAACTGCAGGGCACTTAGTTGGCCACCAGAGGGACAGTACAGCAAATGTGTTTGCTGAATTACAATTCGCTGTTGTGAGTGCTATCCCCATTGCATAGCGTGGGTTTCTTTCTGGGTATTTTGGTATCTCTCCCACGTGACATTGAATACTCAACAAGGCATTGGCGAAATATTACGAGCATTGAAGCTCTCCTGTGTAAATAAATAAAACATCTTATGTATGGGGCATCGTAGTGGCGAGATGTTAACGCCCTCGCCTGCCATGCAGGAGGTCGTGGATTCGATCCCGACACCGACGCCTGCATATTTGGGAGTTTGCGGTGTCTCTCTCCTCGTGGTCACGTCCATTTTTCTCCGGGTCCTCCGGTTTTTCCCTCCACATTGAGAACCAACACGCATTTAGAGTATTTGGCTGCGATACATGTCCACGTGACGATAACCTGCTTCGTTGAGCTATCATACGTGGCCTGGTCGCTTCTGACAAAGAGCTACGTAGCTCAGTTCGTGTTAGATGTGGCTATGCTGCTGTCGTGGCGTCATGGTTGTCACACTGGATGGACTTGCGAGCCAGAGGTTCGCCGGATCGATTTGATCTCCAGACGCAGCAGTTGAAACAATGGGACAAAGTTTCTTAAATCGCCCCCCTCCCCCGCCTCTATTCGTCAATCAGTGTAATTGGGTTCACGACAGTTCGTCGAGTGGCAGGTTACGTGTGGTGGGGCAAAGCGTCATTACCCTCTACCTCTTCCAAGACATTTGGCCAGCATTAAGGAGGAGGCCAAATAATGTTGACTATAGAGGGCCTCTCTGGCAGTGGCATGAGCGAGTAATTGCAGGGCTGCATCTCTGTAATTGAATGTTATTCTTTGACAAATGGATGATGGTGACTATTATAGCGTTGTGCTTACTCACATTAACCCGGTCAGCCGGTCATCCTCGCAGCGGCTTTTGGCTCATGCGCTTTCAGATGCACTTCTGCAGCTGTCTGGAATGTTCTTCCTTCCTATATTAGGAAGTCACTGGAAATATGCACTTGCAAATCATCTAGATTGAGCACTCATTTCTTGAGAACTGCTTTTTGTGTTCAATTTGTTGTCCTTGCCCCGCACCTCCTGTTAGCACGGTTGGCCATGTATGGTGCGAGAGAAGTTCGACATACATACACTCACCCACTCACTGACCTACTCACTCAATCACAATTGACTATGTACGGTGCGAAAGAAGTTCAACATACATACACTCACCCACTCACTCACTTACCCACTCATTGCTGACTATGTACGGTGCGAAAGAATTTAAACATACATACACTTACCCACTCACTCACCTGCTCACTCACCCACTCACTGAAAAGACAAACATCCCTCGTATAGCCTTAACAGACTGTCGGAGCAAGTGCTGTTAGCGAGCACCTATGAAGGCCGGAACGGTACACGAGGGGGTGGATGGCCAGCACCACGCCCTACCGCCTTTGTCTCCCTAGTGGCAATGTTTACACACTGCACCGGGTACTAATTTGATGCTGAGTCGACCTAGGGGAGGCCCAGGACCGGTTCAGATAATCGTCACTGGTGTTGGCCGTGAGCGGGAATCGAACTCATGTCGCCGGGTTCATAGAGCAGCGCGCTGACCACTACACTATCGCTCCCCACAGCTCACTCACCCGCTCACTCACCCACTCACTCACCCGCTCACTCACCCACTCACTCACCCGCTCACTCACCCACTCACTCACCCGCTCACTCACCCACTCACTCACCCACGCACCCACTCACGGCCGGTGACTAACGGTGGGAAAGAAGTTCAACATACCTACACGACATAACGCAGCTGTCCGTGTGCACCCTCTGTGGCACCGCAGCTGACCATGAAGGAGCACCTGGCGACCTTTTTCGACAACCGCACGTGGGGCATCGACAGCGTGAACCTGAGCAACGTGACCCTGCAGCCTCCGAACCCCACGTATCACGACCAGTGGCTGCAGTGGACGCACACGGGTCTCACCTCGCTCCACATGCTCGCCATGTTCGCCGTGTTCAAGGTGCCGATATATCACGCTGGTGGCACCGTGGTGGCTAGGAGATGTTGACTCCCTCGCCCGGTATGCAGGAGGTCGTTGTGGGTTTCGGCCCTGGTGCCTGCTTTAGATTTGCAGTTTGATTGTGTCTTTCTCTCTCTCTCTTTCTCTCCCCGTGGTCACATGGATTTTTCTCCGGGTCCTCCGGTTTTTACCTCCACATTTAGAAACGTGCGTTTAGAAGAGTATTTGGCGGCTAGAAATGTCCACGTGAAAAGCCACTTCGTTGAGCTATCATTTGTGGTCAGCTTGCTCAGTTAGCCTTGCCTAATAAAATAGCAAATATTTTAGTTTTAGTTTACATAAGCAAACTAAACACGCAGCTTTTTCGTAGTCAATATTACGATTCTAGATTTATTTTTTGAGTCTGACCACATATTGATGTGGCCAAATATGTGTCGTTAAGACCCTTCACCATCCGATTTTTTGATTTAGCTTCAAGCAAAACATCGGATAGAATCGCCAAATTTGGCTGTGATTACTATTCTTCAATTTACCGGTGAGATTAAGCAATCATTATTGGTGCGTTACACGCTTGTATTGCGTGGCAATTTAAGTCATGGTAAATTTTCTCCGTTTATGATTACAACACAAATACAGCAGATACATTAGATAATTGGAGTGGTGGCTTAATGGTTAGCGCACTGCCCTATCAACCCAGCGACCTGAGTTTGAGTCCCTCGCCACTGCTGACGCCAGTGTAGAGTGATATCTGAAACAGGTCCTGTTCTCCCTTTTCACCAACTCACAGTGACCACTGGCGGAGCCAGGGGGGGGGCACGTGCCCCCCCCAATGATCCGATCGAAATCCCTAATTTCGATCGGATCATTGGGGTTTATTAGTAATAATTCGGCATTTTGCGACCCCCCACTGCCACTGTGTAGCATATTATTATGTGTCAGGGACTCTATGAGATGATAGGACAATAGTCTGAGTCCATAATTGGCAATAAGTAACGGAAAAGCGGTTATAAGTGACTGAGAATTGTGCGCAGTTGCGTATACAGCACACGACTTCCCTGAAGGCATCAACACCTTCAGCGAGCGCGATGCCGATCACACAACGCGGTTCGAATTCGACCCTCGATCGACGTCTGCACCATCGCCACACAAGCGTCCTCGAATAAAAAGCAAGGGACAAGTCCTTACTTACTAACAACTCCTTACTTACTAACAAGTCCTTACCTACTAACAACTCCTATCATTTTTCATTGCTGGACGGGCTGCCCCCCCCCTACCTGAAAATCCTGGCTCCGCCATTGACAGTGAGCAGCATGGTGAAGTATGGTCGACCAACTCCCCGTGACCGACAGGTGCATGTGGAGGTCTTCATCCAGAAGTGGATTGGCAAAGGCCTGCCAATGATTGTCACCGTCTATGACAATCGATCACAATGTTTGACCGCACCAAACGCGTGCGTGCCTTTCTCTACCCTCCCTCCCAACAGTTTTTCATGCTGATCCTCGCCACCACATTGCCTGTTCCCGCTGGTTATTTCCTGCCCGTGTTTGTGTACGGTGAGTACAGACGATGACCTCGGAGGCGACCCCACACCATTGTCTAGCACGGCCCTCGCTGTAAACCTCGCGTTCGGCGGGGGGGGGGGGGAGCGCACCGAGGACGTGATCGCCATACGATGCCGAGTAATGCCGTGATGACGGCAACTCAAGACGCTCTGTCCGCATGAAGAGCGGAATCGATGTTTTTTTCGATTTCAAGCTTTCGTGACTGCAAGGATTCATCTTCTTTGGTTCTTTCGGTAAAGTCACGTAGAATGAGGATAACGTAATAAAATAATAAAATAAAATAACACAATAAAATTTCTCACGACGTTTCGGCCACAACACAAGTGGCCTTCTTCAGGTGAAAGGAACAAACCTGTCGTCCCGACAGTCGTCCCGACAGGTTTGTTCCTTTCACCTGAAGAAGGCCACTTGTGTTGTGGCCGAAACGTCGTGAGAAATTTTATTGTGTTATTTTATTATTTTATTCTCATTCTACGTGACTTTACCGAAAGAACCAAAGAAGATCGATATTTTTGTTTCGTGTTCGAGAGAGACTGCAGACGGGCAGGCTGGCAGGTATAGGACTTGAGCTGAGTCTTTGGATTGTCCGTGTGAGGGTATGTGCGGTTGTTGAGCCTTTAGCTCGATTCGTGAGTCTCTTGCTCTCTATGTGAGCCTGTGGATATCTCTGTGCGAGTGCGGCTGATTGAAATAGGATGTGGATTTATACAGGGTGTAAATTTGATTACATCTCAAGACGATCTATATAAACTGTGGGTAGATTTATATATAGAGGGAGTCAGTGATAGAGGAACATTTTGAAGCTTTTATCCACCTATTTATTACAATATTCAGTCTCTTGGCAAAGCAGTTGAATCCCCTCGCCTCTGTCCACCCAGCAATAATATAAGTGGGTAGAACACAGTAAGTCCGATTGGCAGGTTGCGGTGGCGAGATGTTAACTACCTCGCATGGTATGCAGGAGGTTGTGGGTTCAATCACGACCCTGACGTCAGCTGTATATTTGGAGTTTTCAAGTTCTCCTCATCGTTGCGTCGATTTTTCTCCAGGTCCCTCCCATTTCCCCCTCCACATTTAGAATGAACACGCGTTTAGAGTCTTTGGTTGCTAGAAATGTGCACGCGATAAGCCACTTCGTTGAGCTATCACGTGTGGCCAGGTCGTTTCCGAAATATAGCTAATCGCTCAGTGAGCTTTGCCTCGCAAAAAAATAAATAAAATTAAGTCAATATTTTTTTTTAGGTCACGTATAGTTGGGCAAAGTGTGGCTACTCCCATATCTTCCGTAGATTTTTGTCCAGTGTGGAAGAGTAGGCCAAAACACACCCTCGAGCGGAACTCTCTAGGGCTGCCCCCTGATGGAGGCCCTTCCACCGGCAGTGACGTGAGCGAGCAATTGCAGGGCTGCACCTTTACCCTCTTCCGTCTTCTCCTTTTCACAATTTATTCATCACCGCGAGACTGAATGGGCGTCGACGCATTGGTCGCTCATTGTTTCATTGTCAATCACAAGCAGGGGTGAGAGGACACTCGAGAGCCTGGGTGGTGCCTGGCGGGCGAGCCGGGGCTGGGTTTCCCGAGCAGGCGAGCGTCAGCGCGCTCGTCTCCGGGTGCGTGCTCGCGGGAGCGGTGGCGCTATGGTTAGCGTCACCGCATGCGCTGCGCTAACCCGGTGAGCCGAGTTCGATTCCTGCTCGTGGCCGACACCGGTGGCGGTTATCTGAACCGGTCCTGGGCCTCCCTGTATTGTCGACTCAGCCTCAAACGAGTACCTGGTTCAGGTGTTGTAAGCATCGGCACTCGGGAGACAAAGGCGGCCGGGCGTGGTGCTGGCCACCCACCCACTCGTGTGCCGTGCCGGCCTTCATAGGTGCTCGCTGACAACACTTGCCCCCAAAAGTCGGTTCAGGCTTCACGGGGGATCTTTGCCTCGTGTGCTCACGGCAATATACGAAGAAGGTGGCATCCAGGCCGCGGTGGGAGTGCAGCTGCGGGCGGTATGAGATGTGTGCATGTATGTCTTTTGCGTTGTCACCCGTGCTAAATTTGGGATCCTGGTTTGGTTACCAAGCGAACGCCCTCCCCCTCTCTCCCCTTCCTGCACCTCGGCCGGGTAAAAATGCGCGACACCGCTCAACCTGATCCACTGAACGCGCCAGAGCGGAACGCTTCCTAGAACGGACGGCTCCGCTACTGCCTGGTTGTAAACTTGGATAGGAGACAACCTCATGGGAATGAATACCAGGCGTACTCATTCCCAGGTTGAATACTGCGAGGCACGTAGCGGCTTTGGGAGGCCTTCATCCAGCAGTGAATAGATCATGGCTGATGATGATTGTCCTTCCCCAGCACCTTCGATTAGCGCGGGCCGGCTACGTACGGTGCGCGAAAGAGGTTGAACAATATAGTGCGTGCGTGCGTGCGCACGTGAACACATCGTTAGCGAGTGACGGCGACAGTTGGAGTCAAATATCGGGAGTCAACAATGGGGCCCCCTGACCCCGTCACATTAAGTCCGCGCACTGCAGAGCGCAGCCTCCCACCGCGAGCGTGGGGGGGTGCTGTCTGTGCCCATTGTTCTTGAAGCAGGCATCACCCCTCGCATTGTCCCCCTTCCAGCCAGAGAAGGGGGTGGGGAAAAATAATATCCCGCTCGGTAGACCCAGTCGCTCGCGTCTGGCAGAGATCATTGCGCACGTACGCTAGGATTCCCCAGGGAGACCCCGGCAGGTTTTCAAAAAAATTGTCCCTTCTCCCCCCCCCCCAAAATGTTATTACAATTACGCTGTCGGTGCCGTGTCATGAGGTGACGAAATCATTCGGAACTCTCGCAGGCGACAAAGATCCCTCCGCATAGCCCCGTAGACAAGTGCTGTTAGCGAGCACCTATGAAGGCCGGCCCGGCACACGAGGGGGTGGGTGGCCAACACCACCCCCGGCCGCCTTTGTCTCCCCAGTGGCGATGTTTTACACATCGCACCAGGTCCTCATTTGAGGCTGAGTCGACCTAGTGGAGGCCCAGGCCCGTTTAAAAAAATCGCCACTGGGTGTTGGCCGCGAGCAGGAATCGAACCCGGGTCGCCAGGTTCGTAGCGCAGTGCGCTAACCGCGACGCTGCCGCTCCCCACACACCGCACACTCCCACACATCGCCACCGATAAACGTTTGTCGCTTGGCAGAGAAGGCTCACTGGCTGGAGGTCGCCAGAGAGACCCAGGTGTCATGAAAGATTCAACACATTCGTCGATAACACTACCTGAAAATGACAAATATATGTAGTAGGTGACGTTTCGGGCTACGGCCCTGCTCCATAGCACAAAGTGTCATGGATCAACGGACCAGGATGACTAACAGATGTACCACTTTCACTCGCTAATGTATCCCATTGCTCCATATATCATATGCAGTATACCATAAGCATATAACATATACATGCGTTCAGGATGTGCATGCGTACGCAAATAGTGTCGCATTGTTTCAGTTTCAGTTTAATTTATTTTGGTATAGAGCCCTGTGAGCCATGCAGCTCTTGAATCGGGTACAACCGCAACAAACAAAAAACAAAATCATGAACAAGAAAACGTCTTAAAGTGACTATGTGTGACTGTGCAAACAGAAAATCCAGGAAAAAACAGCAAAATATTCCTGAAAAAGCATCGTACACCAACGCTGTGTGCAAAAAATCCCAGTGGGATGCAAGTCAAACAACAACAACAACAACAACCACAAGACAACTTAGATTAAGGCCATCAGTCTAACTCCGTACTACAATAAACAAAATGGCCAAACCAAAAAACTTTTCTAAATCACCAAAATAAAGCCATAAAAGCAATGTAACAGTGATCATAGGAACTGTGACCGAATTTTCACAATAAACGACATAAACAACATGTAACACCAAACCCTAGAGCCATAGCTGGATGCATGAGTCACTCCACAACAACAGGAGCATCAGTCGGAGTATCAAATTTTTCAATGCACCTTTAAGATCAGCACACTAAATCAAAATACAGATAATACTTTGCAGCGGTCATCCGGAGCAAAACATTTTATTTTATTTTAGGCCACTGAATAGCAGTGGCAGCTAGGGGTGTACAACTCCTCTAGAGCAATTTTGAGTGAAGATCTCATAGGTAGTGATTCAAGTTTCAGTTTATTGGCAATAGCATTCCAGACCCGGGGGCATCAATCGCAAAGGCCCTTTCTCCAGGTTTTGTACGGCAATAGGAAATGTGAAGCTGGTAAATGAGTAAACACCTGAGGTCAAATTTGTTCTTTGAAACAGAGAGGAGATCCAGCAGGTGGTCTGCGGATTTTTTTGTAAGCACATCTTTAATAAATAAGATCTGGTGCACAAGCCGTCGAACATTAATACATTGAAATTCAGTGGTGCTAACGTGAAACCAAACTTTAATTTTAGCAGGTAAAGCCCACTTGGCTGTTGGCTTCTTTTTTTCAGAGGCGACCTGGCCACACGTGATAGCTCATCGAAGAGGCGTTTCGCTCCACGTGCTCAGAGAACTTCTTAACGAACTGAAATCAACTCGGGGAGCTGTACATCACAACTGCACACACCTATGCAGAAGTTCGTATATGTATTTATTGCGCTCGACTACCATCAAAGCCTCACCGAGTCTCACGATTCTTTCTCAGGAGGGTCCTGCTAAGTTTCCGCAGTAGGGGGGGGGGGGATGATTGCTACTGCATGTAGATTCCAAATGAACGTGGACCAGGACACCGGATTTTTATGTTGCGTGTAGTCACTTAAAGATGTTTCTTGTTCATAACAGGGTTTTTCCCCTTTTTTTGGCTACAAAACTGAAACCTTTTTTACAAGGATTCATGTCTGCATTAACCACAATACCTGCAGTCAAAATGCAAGCAAAAACATACTATGATAATATATGCATTGTCCTTGAAACTGATTGGTCCACACCAAGGGACGGCTTTCTTTCTTGGTGTGGACCAATCAGTTTCAAATACATATTATAATAGTATTTTTTTGCTTGCATTTTGACTGCAGGTATTGTGGTTAATGCAGACATGGAATCCTTGTAAAAAGGTTTCAGTTTTGTTGTCAGAAAAAAGGGGAAAAAAACCCTGTTATTACGTTTCTTGTTCATGTTTTGTGTTTTCTTGCGGTTGCACGCGAGTCAAGAGCCGCATGGCTCACAGGGTAATACGTACCTAATAAATGAAACTGAAACCTAAATTACCCACTCCTGCGAATGACGTCGGCGAATCTTTAACGTCCGCTTTGAAGCACACGGCATGCGTTCTTTGTTTGGTCAATACGCACCGCAGTGCTAAACCGGGGAATCAAACCGCGAACCTCTGCAGCAAGCGGCGAACGTGCTACCGCTTGGCCATGGTCCACCGCACCTTAAATAAGCAATTAATTCCGAACTCAGCGCGCCGCTCCTCTTGCTGGTCCTGTGCGCCAGGTGCCGGACTCGGGCGGCTCTATGGAGAGCTCATGGCCAAGATGTTCCCGGATGGCATCATCGCCGAAGGAGTCACCATTCTGATCCACCCATCCGCCTATGCGCTGGCAGGTACGTACGTACGTGCGCACGTGCGTGCGTCGGCCAGATGAACGCCACAAGTGAATGGTCACTTGAATATTCTCCCAGCATCTACATTTCTTAAGGGACAATCTGACAAAATTGGCCGGGACTCTCTCTCTCTCTCTCGCTATCTCTCGTTCTCTCTCGCTCTCAGAGGCAGTGGCGTAGCTATCGAGTGTGCAGGCGGTGAAACTGCACCTGGGCCCACAGCCTGAGCCTGCGAGCAGAAGGGGAGAACTTGTGCAGGAGGCCCCGTTTCATTCCTTGCGCCAAGGGTCCGTGCTAACCACACTATATCCGCCACCGCTCAAGAGTTCAGTAAAGACCGTGTCAGAGACACTGCTACGAGCCTGGGTTCCTGACGTGTATTTTGAATGTCACTCTAAACATCTAATGCAAAGTGTCTCCACCCTCAAATGAGTGTTGGGAGGTGCTCATTGTTGTCAGTCGCCAGGAAATGATGGTGGTGGTGGTGGAGGAGGAAATTCCACGTAGCTTTGGTAGAAGCTCTCACCAGGTTATAAATGTATATATATATAAAGCTCCCTACTTAATTAGGAAAGTCTCACTGAGTCTCAAGACTCATTTCAGTAGGACCCTGCATTAGTCAACACCATGAATGTGTGTGTTGGCATGTATAATGAGATTTGTTAATCCAGGCAAAAGTATCTGACCTCTACTCGAAGCAATCACACGTTGAACTCATCCCTGCGAAGCTGGGAATGGTAGAAACGTGGTCAGATCACTGTTGCTGAGATGCTAGTTTTCTGTCAAAAGTAGTTCTGTAAAATCAAATTCCCTGGACCATTCTCTAACATAGTTGGCGTGCTCTGGGACAGTCCCGAATTAACACTCTGGAGACATGACGCCGCCGATATCACAGTAGGATGAAAAGAATACTAATAAATGTTTTTATATCAACACAACCCGTCTTTTACCTCCAAAAAATTACTCGACCCCTATTATCCACATGCCAAACGCTTTGGTCAATGGTCCACGCGCCATTTGCAGAGCGCCTATGCCGTTTGTATGTATGTGGAACTTCTTTCGCACCGTACGTAGCCAACCGTGTGAACCGGACGGGCGGGGGAAAGGCAACAAACTAAGCCCAAAAATCAGTTCTCAAGAAATGAGTTTTCAAGTTAAGTTTGAATGTGCATAGCTCCAGTGGCTTCCAAACAATGGAAGGTAGAGCATTCCAGATGGCCGCTCAAAGCGCATCTGATAGCACTCGATGCGGTGATTGGCTTTGTTCGATGGTGAGCCAAAAGCCGCTGCTGTGAGGATGACCGGAGTTTGCGTGATGGTTTATTGTCCTTGACGAGATCGGCGAGGTGTTGTGGTTCATTTGTTGCAAGTAAATTTTGATTTAAAGCTTTCGTGACTGCAGTAATTGTTGCAAGTACTTACGCTGCATGCCCGCAGCACTCCATCCTGACTTTAACTAAACTATTTATATTTTATCAGGCAAGGCCAACTGAACTATAGCTCTTTTTCAGAAGCGACCTGGCCACAAGTGATAGCTCAACGAAGTGGCTTATCGCGTGGAAATTTACAGCAGCCAAACACGCTTAACGAATTTCTATTCAAAATGTGGAGGGGATAAACCAGAGGATCTTGAGAAAAATCCACACGACCATGGGGAGAACACGCAAACTCCAAATATACAGGCATCAGGGCCGCGATGAAACCCACGACCTCCTTCATACCATGCGAGGTAGTTAAAATCTCGCCACCGTGGCCACCGTGGTGTGAGATCGTCAGCTGGACACTCCTGAGCCATCAGGGTCTACCACCAACACCTCAGTCGTATCAGGCCAACCAGGGCACGCGAACTCCAGATACAGAGCAGGCGTTGCGCCTCCCAATTCCCGCACGGCCGCTTTGCCTACGGCGCGAAAGGCGTCAGCGTTGGGCTGGAGCCCCTCGACGACCTCCCGCGTGCCGGGCGAGGCAGTTGACCGTCTCCCTGACCGCAGGCGCGGCGGCGTACTCGGGGGCGGTGACGCACACGCTCTCGACGGCCGTGCTCGTGTTCGAGCTGAGCGGGCAGATGTCGCACATCCTGCCCGTGCTCATCGCGGTGCTCATCGCCAACGCCATCAGCCAGCGGCTGCAGCCGTCCTTCTTCGACGGCATCATCATCGTCAAGAAGCTGCCCTTCATGCCCATGCTCGCCATGGGCAAGACGGAGTAAGGGGCACCCCCATCCCCCATTCCCCCCCCCCCACCACCTCCTCCCCGACTGCACATCACAATGATGTCATCGTTATTGTTATAATATGTATTATGACGAAGGTTGTTGTTGTCAATAATTGTCATGGCATTATGATCGTGTTGCGTCGTAATTATTACACGTATAATACGTACGATGAGCGTACGAATTATTGTCGTTATGTATTACTGTTCTTAAATTGTCTTAATTGTTATAATAATTGACTTTTAAAAAAGACACGCGCACGCACGACATGTACAAACGCTTTTCTGCCCCTGCTGTCTGCTGGCCGACGAGGCCTTGACGGAGAAGATCCATCGCTTATTGGTGGGGCTTTGCTCGGCCAAGACGATTCCTGTGACTTCCCGCAGATCTCACGACGTCATGGCTGAGGACTTCATGACGACCGACGTGAAGTACGTAACGAAGGAGAGCACCTACAAGGACGTGAAAGACCTGCTGATGAAAACCAAAATCCGCGTCTTCCCCCTGGTCGACTCGAACGGTGCGTTGGCGTTCGCCGAGCAAGCGAGCGGCGTCGCCGTAACGCGTGGGTAGCGTGGGTTCTCTCGCAGACACGGTTGTGAGATTCGTGGTGTTTGGCTTTGGCCGCACCAAGCGATCTGAACAGACTTGTATGAGAATAGGTTTTCTCCTTTTTTTCTGGCAACAAAGCAGCTGTGTTAAGTTGTTAAAACACCAAACTGAAACCGTTTACAGGGAATCATGTCTGCATTAACCACAATACTTGTGGTCAGAATGCAAAAAAATACACTGATAATATATGCATTGTCTTTGAAACTGATTGGTCCACACCAGAGACAGCTTTCTTTTAAGCCTCGTCTCAAAACGGTGTTAGACCAGAGGACGCCAAAAGGCGTGAATTTGTATGGTTTAAGATCCCTCCGCTACCCGACACTGCCAAACAAATACATTGTTACCTGGACGTGTGTGTGCCACTCTCTTTCCTAATTAACCCCTATTTACCCCTGCCACCATCTCTCCTCATTTCCCCTATTTACCCCTGCCACCATCTCTACTCATTTCCCCTATATATCCCTGCCACCATTTCTACTCATTTCCCCTATATATCCCTGCCACCATCTCTACTCATTTCCCCTATATACCCCTGCCACCATCCCTCCTCATTTCCCCTATATATCCCTCACCACCATCTCTACTCATTTCCCCTATATATCCCTCACCACCATCTCTACTCATTTCCCCTATATATCCCTGCCACCATCTCTCCTCATTTCCCCTATATATCCCTACCACCATCCCTCCTCATTTCCCCTATATATCCCTCACCACCATCTCTACTCATTTCCCCTATATATCCCTAACCACCATCTCTACTCATTTCCCCTATATATCCCTGCCACCATTTCTCATTTCCCCTATATATCCCTGCCACCATCCCTCCTCATTTCCCCTATATATCCCTCACCACCATCTCTACTCATTTCCCCTATATATCCCTCACCACCATCTCTACTCATTTCCCCTATATATCCCTGCCACCATCTCTCCTCATTTCCCCTATATATCCCTACCACCATCCCTCCTCATTTCCCCTATATATCCCTCACCACCATCTCTACTCATTTCCCCTATATATCCCTAACCACCATCTCTACTAATTTCCCCTATATATCCCTGCCACCATTTCTCATTTCCCCTATATATCCCTGCCACCATTTCTACTCATTTCCCCTATATACCCCTGCCACCATCCCTCCTCATTTCCCCTATATATCCTTGCTACCATCCCTCCTCATTTCCCCTATATATCTCTGCCACCGTTTCTCCTAATTTCCCCTATATATCCCTCACCACCATCTCTACTCATTTCCCCTATATATCCTTTGCCTTATTGACCCCCTATTGACCTCCCGCCCCCCCCCCCCCCCCCATCGTCAACCCACAGAGTCGCGCGTGCTGCTGGGCTCCATCAAGCGCATGGAGCTCATCCGCCTGGTGGGCGACCAGCTGAGCTCAGAGCGCCGGCTGGAGCACCTGCGGCGGCGGCTGCTGGCGGAGCACGCGAGCGGCGAGGAGCAGCCCCACGACTACCTGCACGAGGTCCTCTACCCTTGCCCGTCCAAGCGAGGACGTCCGCCACGGAGGCGGAGCGATGTAATCGTCTCGCTCGCGCGCGCGAGCGAGCGTGCACGAGCGTGCGTGCCGGTGCCGTGCGGATTTTGTTGTTGTTGTTGTTGTTTTATTGGCATGTTCATCGCGAGTACTGAGTGTGCGGTTTTGTTGGCATGTTCATGTTCATCGCGAGTACTGAGTGTGCGGTTTTGTTGGCATGTTCATGTTCATCGCGAGTGCTGTGTGTGCGGTTTTGTTGGCATGTTCATGTTCATCGCAAGTGCTGTGTGTGCGGTTTTGTTGGCATGTTCATCGCGAGTGCTGTGTGTGCGGTTTTGTTGGCATGTTCATGTTCATCGCGAGTGCTGTGTGTGTGGTTTTGTTGGCATGTTCATGTTCATCGCGAGTGCTGTGTGTGTGGTTTTGTTGGCATGTTCATGTTCATCGCGAGTGCTGTGTGTGTGGTTTTGTTGGCATGTTCATGTTCATCGCGAGTGCTGTGTGTGCGGTTTTGTTGGCATGTTCATGTTCATCGCAAGTACTGAGTGTGCGGTTTTGTTGGCATGTTCATGTTCATCGCAAGTGCTGTGTGTGCGGTTTTGTTGGCATGTTCATGTTCATCGCGAGTGCTGTGTGTGTGGTTTTGTTGGCATGTTCATGTTCATCGCGAGTGCTGTGTGTGCGGTTTTGTTGGCATGTTCATGTTCATCGCGAGTGCTGTGTGTGCGGTTTTGTTGGCATGTTCATCGCGGTTCATGCAGACAGGATTCCCGGCGAAAGGTTTCTGTTTGGTGTTTGAACACCGTAACACAACTGTCTTATTGCCAGAAAAGGGTGAAACAAATTCGCATATGTTGATACTCGCAAGAAAGGTCCCATGGTTGTTGCTGTTGTCATCATCGATGTTGTTGTGTTTGTGTACCGAGTTGGGAAGCGGCGGCGTAGCGGTGAGCGCGGATGCGTTACAAACCCGGGATCGATTCCCGCCCACGGCCAATACAAGTGACGATTGTCTGAATCGGTCCTGGGCCTCCCCTAGGTCGACTCAAATGAGTACCCGGTGCGGTGTGTAAACATCGCCACCGGGGAGACAAAGACAGCAGGGAGCGTGGTGCTGGCCACTCACGACCTCGTGTGCCGTACCTGCATTCATAGGTGCTCGCTAACAGCACTTGCCCCATCGGTCTGTGAAGGCTACATACGGTGGGATCTTTGCATTCGGAGATGCTGAGTACAGGGGCCAAGTGCGCAAACAACAAGCAACACCATCAAAGTTGTAATGGATAAGCGTGAGACGCGTTTATTAAATGGAGCAGTGTTATTGTAAGAACTTGGAGAAGAGAGATGATGGGCAGGGAATTGCAAAGGTGAACAGCGCGAGGTAAGACGCAAAAAGAGAAGGGTTGTGACCTGCGGTACCGTGAGAGATGGTGGAAGCTTGAGGAGGCCCTCATCCAGCGGTGGATTGATCGTGGCTGATGTCTTTTAAATACTCTAGGGGTGATTTAGACTTCTTTTAAGTCAGAAGTCCCATGAAGCCGCTGTATGTGTGTTGTTTGTTTGTCTGGATCACTTCCCCAGCAACCGCTTCACCAATTTCGATGAAGTGTGATTTAAACAGCTTGTGACGTCGATGTAGCGCATGCAAATGTGGTAAAAATGTTACATGAAAGAAAACAATTTGATCGTATAATTCCGCTGATGCCCTACCACTCTGCTGCTACGGCACGCTCTGGCTTAACGTCCCTGTGGAAAAGACGACTTTTACAAAAATCCAAATACTTAGTACCGCCATCAGAAAGAGTTTATGACACTCAACTTGGCAATGAAGGTCAACTTGGCGAGGAGGTTTAGCTGTAGAGCAAGTGGCTCACGAGCAGAAGGTTGTGAGTTCAAATCCTGGTTGGTGGTTGCGGGGTTGACTCAGCCCATCATCGATCAAAACAAACGAGTATCAGTTTGTGGGGAAGTCAACAGTGCTCATCCTATGGATAGACTCACCTCCGCCATATGATCGAGGAGTTTCCAGCACTGGCTGAGCGCTGTAAACGGGATCTGCGGACTGCCTCAATGCTCACTTGAGCAGGACATCACCTTGACCATTATCATTATTATCGTTATAAATGTAAATCCTGTGCACAAATCCGCTGGAGAAAATGTGGTAAAATTGAAACAATTATATTTTGAATACTAAATCTTGCATTCGCTCTTTCTTCCTGCAGCTTTTGCCTGGCAAAATTAGGATGCCAAGGTACATGTTGGAGGGTAAGGCAGTCATTGACATCGTCTGATGTGTATAGTGTGTGTGTGTACACATCAACACTCGGGAGACAATGACAACCTTACCAGCCCTTGGTAAACCGTGCCGGCCTTAATAGGAAGCCACTGGAGCTATGTACTTTTACATCTAGATTGAAAAGTAATTTCTTGAGAACTGCTTTTTGTGTTTAGTTTGTTGTCCTTCCCATGCCTCCGATTAGCACGGTTGGCAACGTACTGCGCAAAATAATTTCAACATACATACATACAAATCAACACAGGTCAATCTGGCTCCAGACATCATCATTGTTTCATGTCTAGACCAAATAATCTCAAGTAGGATCTAGAGTCCCTGCAAGGTTTTATTGTGATCTACTCTTCCACGCTGGTTAGCCGTCCTAGAATAAGGGGGGGGGGGGAGTACACACACTTTACCCTACCGATATAATAGTTGCTCCCTAACTGCACTTGCCCCATTAGTCTGTAAGGCAAATCAGGGGTTGGGTGAGAGTGAGAGTGCCGAGCTGGTATTGCTGAGATCCTGGGTTTGAATTCTGGGATTAAATCGGGGTTTTCAGGCACAGTGAGCAGATGGTCTTAAGTCAGTCACTAATCACTGCACTTGATTGGGCTGATTTATAGTTGGAGGAAATTGAAATATCAGTTTGACCGTCATGCAATGAACATTAGTCGCAGTGGGAAAGTTCTTTCCCCGTAAAGTGTGGACCAGAGGTCACTTGAAGGCATTTCAGAGGTAGCTCTGTGATATCTACTTCTAACATTGGGGGGGGGGGGGGGTGGGGATTGCATTGATTTATGATATATCCGCACGGATTATATTTATAAAAATTTGGGGGGAGGGGAATACAAAACATTCTAAACGAATCAAATAATACATTTTAATTGATTAATCGAAGGTGCTCGACATAGCTGACAAAACAATGACAGAATTGAATTTCGATGGGAGCGGTGTACAAGGATTGAGGAATGAGTGACAGCGATTAAGGGTACTTAGGGATCACCAAAGGGTAGGGGAGGGATGCGAATGAGTGGAGGGGCGAGGGGAGAGAAGATGAAGATAATGGGCAATAGAGGAGAGGTGAGGCTTTAAGAGAGGAATGGAAGGAGGTTAAGGAAAGGGACTGCTTAATGTACAGTGTCAGTGTTGAGTCGATGGTGCAGTGTTGAGTCGTCTATGGTGCAGTGTTGAGTCTATGGTGCAGTGTTGAGTCTATGAGCAGTGTTGAGTCTATGGGCATGTGTTTAGTCTATGGTGCAGTGCTGAGTATATGTGCAGTGTTGAGTCTATGGGCAGTGTTTAGTCTATAGTGCAGTGTTGCGTCTATGAGCAGTGCTGCTCAATATACAAGGAAAGTTTATTCCAGTGGAGGAGTGCAATAACTGATAGAGACAGAGAGAAGATTGGGAATGAAGAGGACGAGAGGGGGCATGTAAGGAGATGAGAGAGGCGAAATAATCGAATGATTGTTACTTCCCGAGAGCCACACGCAGTGATTCACTCACCCTGCCGCATGGAACGCGACCTGCCGTGAAGGCATCACCGCTGTACGTTTCCTTGCAGACAGGAGTGGCTCAAAGAAGAGATCAATGGTTCTCCTCAGTGGCGAGGACATCATTCCAAGGCCCAGCAACCAGGTGAACATCCACCCGGCCATTCACTAGCATCAGCCCAAACGTGCACTGTTGAATTGGCGAAGTCTTAATTCGTTAAGTGTGTGACTGCTTAAGTGTGTGACTGCGTAATCCGGTGTTGTTTTTTGTAATATAACTCTGTTTGTCTTTCTCAGTTTGAATCGAAGAAAGTGAAACTCCTATTGGGGGTAAGAACCAAAATTATATGCTTAACCTTTATAAGAGATTAATATTCATGATATACATTACTTTATCCCAATAATTATAATATCATTGTTCAGCGGATGGCCCAGGACCTGTTTAAATATCACCCACCACTGATGTTGGTTGTGGCCAGGAATCAAAAGGCATACCACTGGGTTCAAAGCACAGTGTGCTAACCACTGCACCACCACTCACCCCAATAATTATTATTATTCATTAATTTATCCAGAAAGCCTCATTGAGTTTCAAGACTTTTTTTGCGTGACCACGCGATTGCATTAACAGTAAATGATTTGAGCGTTAAAAAGGTCCTCGTTTTGAATTCATCCACAGGATGGACACGCTATCTTGGAAAGCATGACAGATGAAGAGGTGAGACGGACAACTATTGTCTGCCCCAGCAATGCTGCACAGATTTGTGCTGTGTTCTCCTCGACTCGGCACTTATCACAACGACAGCCTGACTTCCCTCCATGTGAACTAACGACAAAGATCCTCCGTATAGCCTGAACAGACTTTTGGGGCAATTTCTGTTTGCGGGCGCCTATGAAGGCTCGGCACAGCACACCAAGGGGGTGTGTGGCCAGCACCACGCCCGACCGCCTTTGTCTCCCCAGTGGCGATGTTTACGACACATACTTCGTCGCACTGGTCAGTGTGGGATTGTGGGTGGTGGGTATAAGGACCGGGTTTAGGTTTCGCTCGCCACTGATGTAATCCTTGGCTGGGGAGTCGGACCCAGGTTGCAGGGTTCATAGCGCAGCGCACTGACCACTGCGACATCCCGCACTAGCCATTACATAAAACATTGATTTAAAAAAAGTGAATTAAATGGAAATCGAATAGGATGCTGAAAATAATACATTCACGATGACCATGGGGGGAACATAACATTGCACAAACTTTGAAGAAACTCGATTGTAAATTTAAACGAGAGTTAAAATGTGTGATGGTAAAAATAATGACGATCCCAGACTCCTAAATTGACTTGGCGGAAGGGTCAGGGTTAGAAAGCCTTAGGCCCAGGAGTTGAGTTTTTTTGAGTTTGTAAAATGAGATGTTAACTGGTGAGATGTTAACTACCTCGCCTGGTATATAGGCAGTTGTGGGTTCGATCCCGACCCTGACAACTGTATATTTGGAGTTTGTATCTTCTCTCCGTGGTCGCGTGGATTATTCTCCAGGTCCTCCGGTTTTTACCTCCACATTTATAATCAACACGTATTTAGAGTATTCGGCTGCTATTCATTTCCACATCATAAGCAACTTCGTTGAGCTACGTAGCTCAGCGTGCCTTACCTGCTAAAATATTTCTTTATTTTATTTGAATAATTTTTAAACGAGCATCGCTTCACCCTCGTGGCCGGTGATGCTGACGACCCCCCAACGTGCGCTGCCCATGCAGATCGAAGAGTGGGAACGGCAGCAGCTGGAGCAGGTCATCTGTCTCGACGGGGTCACCATAAACCCCGCTCCGTACCGGATCATCCAAACCGCCTCCTTGCACAAGGTGCGTCCCCAATCAGGGCCAGGCAGCGCATCCTTCTCGTGCCGCAGTGAAGGCCCCTTGGCTACCCGTCGCAAGAATATAACACCGCCTTCAAGGATGAAATATATAATGGGGTCGTAGACATCGCCTGTTATATACGTGAATGGTCGTTACTGGTCCACCCTAATTCACATCCGCGCAAACCTTGGCAGATGCGGATACCAGATGCACAAATGTGGAAATTTAAATGTCTCCGGTGTGCGGCTACGGTCATCCAGAAGAGACCTTATCTCTCTATAACGATGCAATGCCCGATCCACAAATACGAAGCTGATATCACAGCGATACATTCCGCTGCTCCTGACGTGGTTATCTGGGCTTGACTACCTTGAATGTAAATTTTGCAGTTGTTGCCCTGCGTCTACATCAGCCGTACGTCAAGAAGAGCAGACCGACGAATCTGTTCGTAGTTTTGATTTTTTTGTGGTTTGTAGCAATAGAAGCGACGTCATACCAGTGATCATTTGGACCGGTGTCACAACAGCGGCAGCGATTTGCCGACGCTGCGTACCTCTCCTTGCAGGTGTACGACCTCTTTAATCTTCTGGGCCTGAGGATCTGCTACGTGACGGCACTCGGAAAACTGGTGGGCGTTGTGTCCCTGAAGGAGGTAAGCTGCACCTTTGTTGTTCATCCGAACAGCTCCCATCGCCGGTCCTCGTGGTAGCAGGATCATTTCGGTCGTCTAGTCCAGGAGCGGTGGTCTCGTGGTCAGCGAGATGCGCTACGAAACCCGACGACCAATATCCAAACCGGTCCTGGGCCTTCCCTAGAGTTCGACACGGCCTCAAATGAGCACCTGGTGCGGTGTGTAAACATTGGCACTGGGGAGATGAAGGCGGCTGGGCACGGCGCTGGATACCCACCCCCCTTGCGCGCAGTGCCAGCCTTCATAGGTGCTCGCTAACGGCACTTGCCCCAACAGTCTGATGAGGCTATATGGGGGAGGGGGGGGGTCTTTGTCTTTGTGCTCCTTTCATTGACCAGGAATTCCTCAAGACTCTCTTTGTCTCATTTAGGACTTTGCGTTCAGTACACTTGTTCGAACTTTGAATGTGTGACGTTGCTCAATGTTGTTTCTACTGTCGCTCTATGGGAGGTCACTTCTCCTCCTTCTCCTCTGCTGCTGCTGCTGACGTCTAGAATTCCTTGGGGGTTTTGTGCGGGTCCTTAACGAGCATCGTCCAATGTAAAAACCTTGGACGTCAGCCTCTGTCATCTTGCGCAAACGATCATCGCCTCTGACGTTTGATTTTCAAACGTTCTGTTCGTTGGCGTCCGCCTGTAATTCTCCAATGCAGGGCAAAGGACTCCACCATTCCCTTTACTCCCTTTCCTTAGTCGTCCCCCTCCAGTCGTCGATTTCGTCTCGCTGCTGTCGTCTCTTCTGCCCCCTCCGCTTCTCTTCCCGTCCCCTCTCGGGTCTCCGCTCCGTCGTTCGTTTTGCGTCTCCTCTTTCGTCAGGTGTCCTCACGACGCGTGCCGCCCAGACACGGGTTCCACTCCACGTTTGCTGAAACGTCTCCGACGCTCGCCTCCTCTTCCTCCGCTGTCGTTCCTCCCCCCCGTGCAGCTGAAGCAGGCCGTGGGGGCGACGGTGAAGGGGAACTTCGTGAGGACTGTGCGACAGAACAGCAAGGTGGACCAACCGCCGGCTCAGATGCCTGGCGCCGACGGGGCAGGCGGAGCATCGCAGGACAGCGACGACATCTCTCCGGAGCCAGAAACGCGGCACCGGAGAGTCTCCTTCCAAGGCTCGTCGGTGTAGACGGTTGTTCCGACGACGGTTTGCACTGACGGACGATGCCACGGCTTCGCTTTGTAGGAACGACGCGAGCTGTGGAGTCCCTTGATGATGCTGCGGGGGGCACCAATCTGGCCGAGTCCGTAAACACTTTGACGCCGGCAAGCGAGTGGTTTACCATCGGGCGTCTAAGCTTCTTCCATTCCTCCCGTGGCTGCCAATGAACGATGGATAGACGCCCGTCGATCTCTCGATGCTAGTAGTGCTGCTTGGTGCAACAGTCGGTGAAGTTGGGGGCGGTGGGGGGTGAGGTGGGGGGGGGGTGGAGAATCGCCTTGCATGTTTTTTGTTTTTCGTTTGCGAGATAGCGTAGGTTCGTAGGCGTGGCGAGCGAGCGCAAAGTTGCACCTGCAAATATATTTCTGGGCTACGTTGCACGCAAGCCTCCTGCAGCCCAGTCCAATTTATAAGCTAGGGGTGAGTATAGTTTGAGGAGGCAGTGCCGTCCTGCTAAATTGTTCGCCCATACCAAGCAGCCCAAGTCACTTAGGAGCAGACAGTGATTTAAAAAATAGTTTTTACACGTCTGTGTAACTGTTCCATTTACATCCATTGTGTGTTGTTGTTGAGCATTCAATCAAATAATTAAACCGTCATTCTTCTGTCCGCATAAAAATCAAATGTTTAGTCCATCAGCTAACGGTTTTGGAATGGTGGCACAGTGGTTAGCGCACTGTGCTATGAACCCCGGTGAACCTAAGTTTGATTTCTGGTCTCGGCTGACATTTAGCGATTGGGCTCCACACTTCCTTCACCAACCTGCACTCTAGCCGCGCGGTGAAGTACGGTCAAACAACCCCCATGACTGATCCAGTGGATTGAATAAGGACTGTGAATTGCTATATATTTTTTTGGTATTATAATTAATCAGTCTATGGGCTTTCTAAACCATTATGAATCCAGGTGAGGCCCAAAAAGTTCAAAACTTGTCCACAGTTTTCTTGTTGAAACACATGCTGCTGGAAAATGTTGGTCTGAAAAGAACCCGTGCAGGTCGGTGGACTAACAAACATGTAACTTACATGCGGAGCGACAAACGGGCTGTCCGCCAGTTGCGCCGCGTTTGCATCCTTCAAAAATCCACGTCGTAGTGGTCGTTAAGCAACGCGCATTCACTCACATCGGTAGCGTAACTCAGCATGGGGGGCACAGGCTGCCTTGACTCGCCCCTGGTGTCCAAAGCTAAGAGTTGTGCCCCCCCCCCCCCCCCGACAGCCACCGTGAGATAAGTTTTCGACAACAGTGTAAAATAAGACGGAGCGCCCCTTACAGCATTAAAAGGTTCGGGACCGTGAGCGTAACGATGGTGTGACTAGGCAAGGGGAGCCGCGATAATTAACAGCCAAGGTTGCGACCGTGCGAGACAAATCAAATACCAGGGGCCCCACCTGACCGAATGCCGAATCCCCGTCAGCTGATAACGTCGTTACTACGCCACTGGTTCAGAAACTGTCTCGCCAAATAGGGCTCCACGCCTTGCTGAGCAGGTCCGCCGGTGACATGGGGTGCGATTAAAAGCACGCGTTTGGGTTTCGTCCTCTGCTCTGCTGCGGTGGGTTTTTTTTATTTTTAGGGGAAGCTGATGTCACCGTTGTGTTGTGTAAACGACGTGGGCAAAGGAAGGGATCATTTTTCATCTCTTGTACTTTAAATATATATGCCCGCGCTCGAAGGGTGAGTTAAGTGACCCGATACTTTATTCGGAAAGGGGTAGGGGGGGGGTCAGGGGAGCGAGGGGGGGCAGCCGGGGGAGGGGGTCAGGAGGAGGAGGGGGGGCAGGGAGGGAGGGGGGCAGGGGGGGGAGGGGGAGTCTGATTGTGATTGATGCAAATGAGGTAGCATCGGGGATTGAATTCGCCGTGCAAATTCTGTGAAAACGTCGGTGTACATAGCTTTCTCTCTGTGGAGGACACGGATACGCGATGAAGTGCTTGCTGTGCCAATCCTAATCACGTGCAGTATATATGTTTCCCTCCATGCTGCACCAATGGCATGATTGTAGTTGCTCAACGTTTTCCTTGTGAAGTAGTTTTTAGTTATGTCTGTCACGATCATCAGCCCTGATCTAAATTGTGTGACCACATTCCACCTATCCTTTCCTCCCGATGAAGTATAGAATTCACTTTTACGATTCTTGTTCTCACGTTCAAGGCCTTGAATGATCTGGCTCCTAAATTCCGGACCGACCTCTGCTTAAGTTGGTTTTATTCGACTGCAAAAACACTTTGATCTCCTGATTCCGGTCCGCTATTCATTATTTCAAAGGCCAGACTTTGTTATTCTCCGAGATACGGAGGCTTTCTTTGCAGCCAGGCTTCACCACTGTGGAATTCCCTTCCTCGTTGTTGGTGAATTGGGGAGCCTGAGTCTGACACTTTTTTTTTGAAGGGGAAATTTTAAGCAAGGTGAATGTTTGAAAGCTTCTTTCGTTTAACCGGGTGAGAACTCTAGAGAGAGTCTCGTTTGCAAGAGTCACCTGGGACATTGGTCTGCCAATCGGGGCGGCATGATGACGACGATGATGTGTTTAATCCCAAATGAGTAATTTGCGGTGTCATTTTCAAATTTGGAAAATAAGGTGTTGACCACCCTCGTGTGCTGTGCCGGCCTTCATAGGTGCTCGCTAACAGCACTTGCCCCAACAGTCTGTTAAGACTAAATGGGGGATCTTTGTCTTTGGGTACGAATACCGAAAGAACCAAGAATATGGACTAAAATCGGGTCCTGTTAAAACGCCTCTAGTTTCATGTAAAACAAAAATCGGTGGTGGTGGTGTTGGGGGGGGGTGTTTTGTGTAAAGGCAGCTGCATGTATAGAGTCATCACATCGACGCCGCGAGTTGTGGTTGTGTGGCAACGCGAGACCACATTCTGGATTAGTGTCTCTCTCTTATTTCGTATGGCAAGGTGACATTCGCAACGTTACGTGCAGTATGTGTGTGTGCGCGCGTGCGTGCGTGTATATGGAGGTTATTCAGCCATTCAGTAGCCGCTGCTAGAGGCTTGGTGGATGTCAGGGGCAGGGGATATTGCCCGAAAATCTGCGGGGCAGACGGCGTTGGGTTAGTGCCCACAGTCACATTTCGGACTGTTCGGTGGCCTTAGATTCGGTTTAGGAGTTGAATTATGTTTTTTTTTGTGTATACCGTATACACGTATAATATGTAGCTTTTATAGCAGACCTGGGTCAATTACATTTGTGATTTGTGTGATTCGTAATGGTCGCAATCGCAATGTGATTTCAGCTAACGGTACTGCTATAACCGTAATTATGATTGCAAGGTGTTAATGTGTTAATTATAATCGCAATCGCAACGTGATTTCAGCTAACGGTACTGCTATAACCGTAATTATAAGTGACCTCAGGTCTCCTTTACAGATCTTGTTCTAATATGGGGAAAGTGTGAATCACAAGGAGTTTGATTGCGGCGATGTTATCGGCTTTGGCGAAAGATTTTCCACACGTCTCTTCCTCTGTGTGCTGGTTTCATAAATGGTGTCTGCAATTTTGACTTGAGCAATGTAACTTTGCACAGATTGTTTTACGTCGATAACGACCGCCGGAGAGAGGAAACATGCTTTAGCATCGACGTATACCTTCGTTTTGCTGCTAAAACCCCAAAAATGTGTAATATTTTTAACTGACACTTTAAACACAGCAATAAATGTCACGTTTGCTATCATTCACTCGGCTATGGGGCAATGGTGGATGGATAGTGCACGTACTTTATTTACGATTGCCAGTCATGAAGCAGCGCATCTGTTAATGTAGCGTCCCAGATTGTGTTCGTTCTGAAGCCTTGGCCTCAACCCCCTTCTGCTAGAGTTGTTCACGGTAGCTGTGGCCACGTAGCCAATGCCAATAGTAATGCAGGGGTAGAAAACAGCTTTGCTTGAACGGTGCCACCGAGTGCAATGCATGGATTATGCTTGATGTGTAAAAGGGAATGAAGGCAATAGTCACGTGTGCGGCGGTTTGTGTAACATTCTACTTGTAAAATGCAAAACGTATTTCGGCGGACAATTGTGTGTTGTAAATACGCGAATTCTTAACGAATAATTATCTATTTTACTGTATGGTTTTACAAATCTTGGTATTGTTATACTGGAGTTGTGTTTGAACGTGCGAAATGATGCAAAACAAATCCACAATCCCAAATATATTTTCTTCCCTGTGGTCGGTCCATCCTGTACAGGATCATTCCTCCTTCGTATCCGTCACCGCATTAACCGCGACTCCTATTGCCCGCGGGAGCCACGCAGTTCCACGATAACTCCCATTATCAGCGGCCCTATTCGTCCCAATTTTCCGCTCAAAAAAAATGTGTCCTGCGGATACGTGGGTTACCTTCGCGTATGACCCCCGGCGGATAATAAGAGCCGCAGATATCGGTCCCGCACATCGCCACGGGTAAGAGTAGTTCTCCTGCACAGCCATCAACAGTGAATCACTGCCGAAACATCCACTTGGAAAAAAAAACGAGGGGTAAACACGGAACGGTGGGACTGTGTTTGGGCGGCTTGAAGCTCGAACTTTGTTGTGGCTCCAATGCGTTGCTGCGACGCTGAGGTTGCACAGGAAAAAAACAAGGAAATCGCCTTTGGTGAATCGACGCAACGCTTAGAAAAATTACGTGCAGAAATCCATAACTAAAGCATGAGAGCAGTCTTGATTTGAAGTTTTCGTGACTGCAGGAATCCATACTCTTTGGTTCTTTCGAGCGGTAGTGTAGCGGTTGTCGGTTATCTGAACCGGTTCCTGGGCCTCTCCTAGGTCGGCTCAGCCTCAAATGAGTGCCTGGTGCGGTGTGTGGTAAACCTCGCCACTGGGGAGACAAAGGCGGTCGGGCGTGGTGCTGGCCACCCACCCCGTCGTGTGCCGTTCCGGCCTTCATAGGTGCTCGCTAATAGCACTTGCCCCTACAGTCTGTTAAAGGTTATACGGTGGTTACACTCATAATGTTGGCTTGGATTGGGCTGAATGTTGATTTTAAATGGATTTCTGTTTTTTAATGCACAATACAGTCCAGCCTGGCACATTGGCTAATCTTTAACATGAAACCAGTCGTCACTCTCATGTGATATGTAAATGATATGTCTGTTAATCAATAAAGTGTTGATGTTAATCCGTCAAGTGTCCGCTGATTTAAAAGGTGCGCACAGTGTACCGTGCTGCAGCGGTGACATGGTTAGCACTTGGCACACTGCCGTATAAATGACCTATTAATCAAAATTGTATTTTCTTGTCCAATTCAAGAGCGAATGAAGCCATTTGATTGACGTGGAAATATGAACGAACTGAATCGAGTTACCCCACACCACGCATTGCTTTGTGCGATGCAGCAGCTTGCGTGGAATCCAGTTGCACCAGAAAACCCTGACGCTCATTTGACTATTCTCCCAACGCACCGTCCACGAAATTTCAACAGGTGTTGTAAACCAAGGCTGTAATTATAATATATATTGGGGGGGGGAACACATCCCTCCCCAAATTTAAATATGCTCAAAATATCCCCCCCCCCTAATATATTGCTATAAAAAAATTGCTATGCTATATAAATAAAAACAACTATTTGCTTAACCTTGGCCACAATATCTGGACTTATCTTCATATAAATCAACGCATAGATTTCTGTTCATACGACTGTGGTTGTAATTTATTAATCCCTAATCTCTGCCATTACATGCAATGAAACAAGAAATGGTCAAAAAGTAAAAACAGAGCAATGTAATACAATACACTATTAGACATTATTGTAAAAAATAAATAAAAAGGCCATCCCACGTGTTAGTGAATTTGTTTATATTTTAGGCAGGAAATTAGTTTACAAATTTAGATGTTTTTCTGGGTTGGGACCCCCGGAGACCCTGGAAGATTTGGTCGCCCCCAAATGTTGACTCCATGGCTACGGCCTTGTTGTAAACCATAATACTGCGGGGATCTTTTGGGTTAGATCGCCTAAATATAAATGTGTCGTTAAACCCGCCCCCACCCGACAACGCACAATTGGTAAGGTTTGTCACGTCAACAGAACGTGCCAGGTGTTGTAATACTTCACAGGTGTCGGGGAATGGTGGGGGGGGGGGGGGGGTGTTTGTTGAAACCCGGTTGACCATACTTCACCGCCCTGGTCAGCAGTCGGCATGAGCAAGCAATTGTCAGGGCCTCCCCTTCGCCTGTTCACTAACGACGAGCAAAATGTACACACATCGCGTTGGTGGATAGCGACTGGGCAGCAGCCACAAACACCTAGACGGGAACTGCCGATTGAGAGCCGAGCGACATATGACGACATATGATGTCATAGGACGAACAGGCACTCGCCTGTCAACTTAACGCACGGCTCGAAATCGGCACGTCACGCGCAATTAACTCGGCCGATTGAATGATTTAAGTGCACGTTCGATGAATTCTCAACAACAGCGGCGGACAACAACAACAACAAACAACGCAGGCGAGTGCGGTAATTAATTGTGGATAGGTATACGAGAATGTATCTTGCACCACCCACCACCACCGCTTAAAGAGCAAGCTCACTGATGTAACCACAGCCGTTGTTAATGTTGTTGTTAATGTTGTTGTTAATGTTAATGTTGTTGTTGTTGTTGTCGAGTGGGAGCTGTGTAGGAAGTTGACCCCGCCGGTGCCTTTTTTTAATTTGGGCGAATTCGCGGAGAGAGAGAGAGCCGCGATTTCAACGGCCCCAGTTAATCATCGAC